GCCTTTTTTCAAATCTTTCCGATTTCCTGAAAAACTACCCGTCCAGATTTGGGATTAAGGGTTTAGTCGATAGACCAGGTTGTAGGAAACCCCCATGCACAAGCGACTGGTCCCTAATTTGCTTAGGGGAAGAGCTATAGACTTAGGAAAAGTCACTTTTTTGATTTTTTTGCCTATTTTTTCGGAAATTATCGATTTCCTCAAAAACTACCCATCCAGATTTGGAATTAAGGGTTTAATCGATAGACCAGGTTGTAGGAAACTCCCCGCACAAGCGGCTGGTCCTTAATTTGCCTAGGGGAAGAGCTATAGACTTAGGAAAAGTCACTTTTTTGATTTTTTTGCCGATTTTTTCGGAAATTATCGATTTCCTCAAAAACTACCCATCCAGATTTGGAATTAAGCGTTTAATCGATAGACAAGGTTGTAGGAAACTCCCCCGCACAAGCGGCTGGTCCTTAACTTGCCTAGGGGAAGAGCTATAGACTTAGGAAAAGTCACTTTTTTGACTTTTTTGGCCTTTTTTCAAATCTTTCCGATTTCCTCAAAAACTACCCGTCCAGATTTGGGATTAAGGGTTTAATCGATAGACCAGTTTGTAGGAACCCCCCATGCACAAGCGGCTGGTCCCTAATTTGCTTAGGGGAAGAGCTATAGACTTAGGAAAAGTCACTTTTTTGATTTTTTTGCCTATTTTTTCGGAAATTATCGATTTCCTCAAAAACTACCCATCCAGATTTGGAATTAAGGGTTTAATCGATAGACTAGGTTGTAGGAAACTCCCCGCACAAGCGGCTGGTCCTTAACTTGCCTAGGGGAAGAGCTATAGACTTAGGAAAAGTCACTTTTTTGGCCTTTTTTCAAATCTTTCCGATTTCCTCAAAAACTACCCGTCCAGATTTGGGATTAAGGGTTTAATCGATAGACCAGTTTGTAGGAACCCCCCATGCACAAGCGGCTGGTCCCTAATTTGCTTAGGGGAAGAGCTATAGACTTATGAAAAGTCACTTTTGTTGATTTTTTTGCCTATTTTTTCGGAAATTATCGATTTCCTGAAAAACTACCCATCCAGATTTGGAATTAAGGGTTTAATCGATAGACCAGTTTGTAGGAACCCCCCATGCACAAGCGGCTGGTCCCTAATTTGCTTAGGGGAAGAGCTATAGACTTATGAAAAGTCACTTTTTTTGATTTTTTTGCCTATTTTTTCGGAAATTATCGATTTCCTGAAAAACTACCCATCCAGATTTGGAATTAAGGGTTTAATCGATAGACTAGGTTGTAGGAAACTCCCCGCACAAGCGGCTGGTCCTTAACTTGCCTAGGGGAAGAGCTATAGACTTAGGAAAAGTCACTTTTTTGGCCTTTTTTCAAATCTTTCCGATTTCCTGAAAAACTACCCGTCCAGATTTGGGATTAAGGGTTTAATCGATAGACCAGTTTGTAGGAACCCCCCATGCACAAGCGGCTGGTCCCTAATTTGCTTAGGGGAAGAGCTATAGACTTATGAAAAGTCACTTTTTTTGATTTTCTTGCCTATTTTTTCGGAAATTATCGATTTCCTGAAAAACTACCCATCCAGATTTGGAATTAAGGGTTTAATCGATAGACCAGGTTGTAGGAAACTCCCCCGCACAAGCGGCTGGTCCTTAACTTGCCCAGGGGAAGAGCTATAGACTTAGGAAAAGTCACTTTTTTGGCCTTTTTTCAAATCTTTCACTTTTTTTGCGTAAGAAGGGCGCTATCGACTTGAGAAACCTGAAATTTTAAAACAATTTTAAAATAATCAATGTTAAAATAATCAAACAGGTCCTCCAGCTTTCAGCTGGGCCCCTAGTCACAAATCGACTCCTTCCTTCTGATGCGGGTGCAGAGCTATTATTGCAATTTTTAAAGATTATTTAAATTTTTCCCGAATTACAGCAAAGAATTGGGATACAACGACTCTGAATAAAACCAAGCCATCAGCCATCCAAATTTGATACCAACCAACCCTACAATCATAATGCAACAACTTTTTCATAACAATTCATGATTTTTCAGAAAATATTAATTTTTCTTTCTTGGTGTATGCATAAGCGGTTATACCTTTGAGCGGTTCTGTTATTCCTACTATGAAAATTCAGTTGTTTACTGCAGCATTTCTAGTTTCTGTGTCTTGACAAAAAAGAAATATCGAAAAAAAAACTTAGAATCAGCTCCCAAAAACTCCATTTCCAGCAAAATTGAAACAAAGTGGGAGAGGGACAATCATAACGACTCATTTTACCGTTTTTACTTCTCAGTCAAAGGAATTGAAGACAAAACAAATCGATTGAAGTTTTTTAATCGATTCGTTTTTGAAATTTTTGAATTGATCCGCAAAATTTGCTCAAAACATGCAAACATCCTCAAATTTTTTCCTGTTAACTTCAGAAAACGCAGGCAGAAAACGTCAAAACATTTTTCTTCCAGATGTGGGTGAAAACGCAGTTTCAGTAAATCCGGAAACATGGCTTAGTAAAAAAAGGTGATAACAATTTATAGAACCTTGATCCAAAAATTTAAGTCTTAATTCGATATGGCAGACACTCTTGTATTATTTTCACCGGTAAAACTAGCGGCCAAATTGAGAGACGATTTAAATTTGTCTGATAAATAAAATGAGTCAGTTAAATGCAAATCCAAGTTCAATTGTGCTTGAAAAAGTTAATTCATATAAATTACAACCCCAACAAAACTTTTTTAAATTGATTTTTAAGAACAAGTAACTTGCAATGTTGATAATGCATTTTCAATCTCAATAAAATAAAATTTCAAATCAAATATAACATCAATTACTTGAATAAAAAAGAGAGGAATTTTGCTATTTATAATAACTCCACACGGCCTAAATGTTTTTTTGTTCAAACGATGAGACGCGAGTTCTTAGCAGTGAATATGAAGCAAACCGGAACGATTTTGTTTCTGATACACTACACCCTATAAAAGCAACGCGTTGGTTTATTTTCTAGTGCCAAACATCAAATGTTGCAAAAACCTGCCAGAGCTTATCTTCACTTTCAATGAAAACAAGTGCACTAAAAGTGGTTTTTGCAAAATCTTCTTTGCTTTTACTTGGTTCCAGTTATATCTAAGTACAGATGTAAACAAAATGGTTTCTTTTTTTTCTCGGGTTAGTTATTAGTGCTCTGCAGCACCATGCCCCAATCGAAAAGAAAATTGTAGGTAATTTTTAAGCCAAAGTGTGCTGAGAACAGACTGTTTTGATCAGAATGCGAACAAGAAATTAAAAAGAAACAAGATTCCGTTTGAGTTTATCAAAACCAGAATTGAAGTGACAACTGACAAAACTACCGAATCTGCCGAGTTAGATTTTTCAAATTAATTACAATTACCCAAGAAAACAATTCGCAAAATTTTTTCATTTTTAAGACTGTTCAGCCCAGCACAGTTCGCGGTTCCGGTTCAAGTTACTCAAAATTAATGGCTGAAATTGAAGAACAATTGGAAAACTTTTCAATTTTGATTTTGCTCTCCTTTAGGTTACAAAAAAAGTTCAAAGAAAAGGCTTTCAAAAGAACAGTTTATGCAATTTTCTTGGATCTATCAAAAACTTAAGATTCTATTTCTAATAACAATTTAGTGAAAACATTACGCAGTGTGTTTTTCAACAAATGCCATTGCACTATTAGAAGTTTTTTTAAATGACCAAATCTAAAGAGGGAAGGTTATTGGAGTTTTTTTTCCAAATGAATCAAAGTTAAAAGAGTCTGCCATAAGGAACGGTACTAGGTCCACTGTTTTTCAGCTTATATGTCAAAGATATTCGAACTCGATTATTTGCTGGATGTTTTTTGGTACATCTCGTCCGCATATTGTACATCGTGCACAATATGGGGACGAATGTATGGTATATGCTTCATATTTAACTACAAAAGTGTTCTGAGCAAATTAAAAAATTCCTTTCAGCAGCTCACATAATTTTTGTTCGAATATAGTTGAAAGTGAACTGAAAAACGAAAATTAAAAAAAAATTAAAACTACTTTTTGGAAACGAATTTTTTGAAAATTTGGTAAACAGTCATCCAATTTTTTAAAATTTGTATGTAGAAAGAAATCTGATTGCATTTTTCAGGTCAAATTCTCGACTCTATATTGTCATTTCAAGCACAAATGAAAATAATTTTACCAATTGCCAAAAAATTTTAAAATAATAAAAAACCATAGATACAATTGGACAACAGGTGCACAAAATAACTTTATAGTTGCCTTGCTTCACTGACTAAGGTTATTGCATTTAGATTAAGCATTTTTTATCTGAATTCCAAAAAGCGATTTTTTTGCAAGTAAATTACGGAAGTTCGGCAACACCAGCTTAAACTCAAGAATAAATAAAAAGAGTTTATATCAGTGAAATGCAACCTAATCCAATTTGTACGCATACCAATTTTTTGGCATGGTTTCAATTTCTACTTGTTATCCTTTATATATGGTTTTTAACAAATTTTTATTTTGAAAGTTTTATTTTTGTCTAATTTTGCTTTTCATATTTTTTCTCTAAATTGATGATTTTAGTGGAGTCATTTTTTTTTGAAAGTTTCATTTTTGAACAATTTTATTGCTAGTTAAAAAACTAAACGTAACTAATTTGTAACTCGTATAGATGCGGAGACAGCTTTGTAAAGTGAACAAAGTGTTTTTTCTTCTTTTTCTTCAGAGAGTTTTCAAAAAAGAATCTTAAAAAAAATCTTCAAAACATTTTCAAAAAAGATTGATGTTTAATTTGATATGAATTCCCGATTGATGGGCTCTATAACACTGCTAAGAAAATTATTGCAAAGAAAATTCCCAAATTTTGTGCATCATCAGAATTTCACTGTTTTTTTTTTACAATTTTTACAAAATTGATCAATTATTTGCAATTTAATTCTGTTACGAGCAGGCCAGAAGCGATGTATATTTTTTAGAAGTACTTAAAATTTGTTTCAAATCGTTATTGTATTATAATAAAATGTGCCGTATTAAGAATAGATTGTAAGGAAATTAACACCTATCTTACTTTTCTTTTGAATGATTACCTTAAAAAGACTCTTTTTCCACAAGCTAAAAAAGGCAATTGTCACGACAAAATACAAAAATAAACCCTAAAAAACTTGAAAACTACAAGCCTATCTCAATTACTATCAAAAGTGTGAGAAACTTCATTATAGAAACGTTTTAATGGTAAACTTCTATCTCAAACCCTTTCAAGCAACACTCAATATTGCTTTAGAACATCATACAAACCATTAAAAAATCTTGACCATTAAAAAAATCTCTAGAAGGCATTTGATGCTATTGACTATAACCAATTAAGTAAAAACACAAACAACTAAATTTTCCATAATCTGCCCTCGACTAGCCTGCTAAATTCTTTCATAAGCGACGATGTCAGAACCCAATAGAAAGTAACACTGAATCAGACTGGATCTCACTTCAAGAAGGTGTCGCACTTGGCACTGTATTTGGGCCTCTCATTTTCAAACTGTACATCAATGATCTTAACAGCAACTGACAAACTAATGCGAGGTAGTTCAATATGCAGATGACACATTTCTTTTCTGTGACGATGAAAACACATTGAAATTGCACCACGACAACTTGAAATAATTGCATTATTTCATTTAAGTACTTTCGGAGACAATTATTCCAATCTAATGCTCAAAAACAGAGCTTATTATCTTCGGAAGAAATCATGTTAGAAAAGATATAAATATAAGCAATTGCCCTCAACAAAATTGTTATTGAAGAAAAAGTCAATATGAACTATCTCGGAGTAATTTTAGACCAATTTTTGACATTTCGAATTCACAGTGATCCTTAAAAAGGGGCCTGTAGGATTAAAACACTACAGTCGATCACAAAACCCCTTCTATCAAAACAAGAATACTACTCATGAACGCACTCGTTATCAGTAACCTACACTATCCTGGCATCCCATTAATTGGAATTTCAGCAAATTTGTCACTCCATGGAATAGCAAAAAGAACGTTTAAAAATGTTTACTTAGTTTTATTTAAAGAATATCCAACAGTGGGCAACCTATGGAAACACTTCATCAAAAGATTTCAAATTTTTAGTGAAAGTTTCATAAGATTGTGGTACTATCAATTTAATGCCTGAGGTTTATTTGGCACTAATGATAATCATAATTTGACTTACACTTGCACGTTTGAAATTACTTTCAAATGGCAAAGAAAATTTGTTTTTAAAATTTATACTGTATAGTTTTCTGTATAGTTTATACTGTATTAGATATATAACTTAAATTTATTTTAATTTTTTTAAAAGCCTGGAGGCGCGTTTTATATTGAATCTCGTGCTGTAAAACCAGTTTTTGTGTATAAATGTACAGAAAATGATTAATAATGGAAATGAATAATAATGGAAAGTCTGATCAAGGTGGAATGTGTTTTATGCTTATGATTAAGAATATTGACATCGGTATCCTTTGCAGTACTTGACGTATAGATTTGCTTCTTTCGATGGCCTCGGATTGCGATTAGGGCAGTTTTTAATATTGTGAATGGCAGCTTCTTTCTGATGTAATTCACAGTGTCGGCATAGGAACAGTCTGTCTTTTCACTCGTCTTCTCGGCAAGCTCAGAATGGACTTTAAATATATTTTAATGCCGCAGTATTTCAGAGGGAACGGTGTGTAAAATGTGATATCAATAACTGTCGAAATGAGTAAACGTGTTAATCCCTTTCACCAAAAACAAAAGAGTTTAAATAAGGCCAAAAGACTATATGCAGAGCAGAACAAGCAGGAAGAAGATGCAGGAACATATCATTTAACAGAATATGTGTTCAGAGATGGACTGAGATTTGTGAATCCATATTATTATACGTTTAAGTCTTACGTGAAGAGTAAGTATATCGATTTTATTTTTTTTTAAGTTGTGTTCAAAAACTCATTATAATTGCTGGCTTTGATTCGTGTTTAGAGCGATGGGTTGGCTCAAAGTTGAAAGATATTTATGTCAATGAGTTCAGAGGCGAGTCAGAAGAAACCCTACTGAAAAGATTTAAAGCTGGTAATATCAAAGTGAACGGTGATCCTGTTGAAGCTGACTATTTGATAAAGGATAATGACTTCCTGGAAGCTACAATGCACAGACATGAGATGCCAGTCAAATCCGATGAACTCAGCATTCTGCATAATGATAACAATTTTTATGTTGTCAACAAACCAGCTTCTATCCCTGTTCATCCAGCTGGCCGTTTCAGATATAATAGTTTGTCTTTTATTCTAGGCAAGTATTTGATTTTTTTTTCCTTTGTGTATCAAGAATTTTTGGAAATTGACCGCGTGATTCATATTTTCCAGCACCCTATAAACTCTAAATTGTGTTTTTTGACAGGTAAAACATATGGTTTGAAAAACTTGAGCACTGTCCACCGGTTGGATAGACTGACTTCGGGCTGTCAGATATTTGCTAAGAATTTGAAAACTTCACAACAGTGTTTCGAGGCATTGAAGAATAGAAAAGTATCCAAAATGTATGTGACTGGACTGCATGGCGATTTTTCGTCTGAAGAAATAAGATGCGATGCCCCGATTGCACCTATATGCAGTCGAATTGGTAAGAAAGTACGTGAAATATGCTGCTTTTGTTGTAGTTAAGAAAGTTTTTATCGGGCACTACTATTTTTTTCCGTAAATAACTTGATTCACGTGACTCCACCTGGAGCCTGTACTCACTTACATGCGATAAGCAAGGGTATTGCAATCGGGTACTAGACTTTTTTTCCCGTAAACAACTTTGTTCGCAGGTTGATCTCCGATTTCAAGATCTCCTTTTTAAGCACATTGCATGTTCAACACCTCGAGTTATCGTGCCTAGTGTTAATGCATACAGTCACTGGATCGTCTGGTAAAAATATTTTCAGATGTATTTTTTTTGTAGTCTTAATTGATTTCGGTCAAATTTTTGTCGGTTTATTTGCCGGGTGTTTTTTTTTGAAAATTTTATTCAATTGATTATAACTTCAATTTCAGTCAAACCTTCGACGCACGTGTTGTAGAGGTAACACACTTACCTGAGACGACAAAGGCCTGTAGCTCGAATCCCACCGGGACAATGTTTTTCAAAAACTTGATTTTGTGCTTTTTTTCGGGCAATCTTACGTCTGCCTATTTTTGTCGGCTTGATTCCCGTAGACAGCTTTTGAACTTTCAGCTTTCGTCCAAGTTGCTGAAACACACTTGCTTGAGACGACAGAGCCCAGGAGTTCAATTTCAGTCGGAACATCTTTGCTAACTGAAAACTTTTGGCTATTGAAGATTTTTGTGGCTGCTTATTCTTGCTGACTAAGTTACCACAGTATTTTTTTAAACGTTCGACTTCTTTCTAGCATTCGGAAAACTATTTGTAAAGTTTTTCAGAGCAATGAACGTAGTGAGTACTCTTATATAGGCCTTGCTCATTTTTTCTTTGGTATTTTTTCAGGAAAAAGTCTTAAAATTCGTTCACGCTCAATTTTGGTTTTTAGCAGTTTGAATTGTGTTTTATTTTCAAGTTCAGTGCATTTCCATTGTTAAAAGAAAGGCAACTCCACTATCGAACAGCAAAAATCTAAAATTCACAAAAAATGTGACCGATTTCTAATTTCCAAAATGGAAATTAATTATCAGATTTCCCACTAAAAGTTTTGCCTAATGATCCTGTTTTCTCAACTTGGGTTAATTACACAAGAAAATGTTCATTGTAAATTGTTCTACAAAGTCAAAGAGCTTAAAGGTCATCTATTTTTTTCGAAATTCAACAGTTTTTCAGTTTCCTTGCGTTCATTATTCTTTTCCAACTGTCAGTTGGCTATGTTTATTATTGGTGAAGGTAGTTTTGTTCCAGATATTTGGGGATTTTTCAATTTTTTTTTTACTACTGTCCGTCTGTTTATTGTTGTCGGCTTAGTTCCTGTAACTTGTTTTTTTTAAGGTTCAGCTTAATAAAAAAAAACCTGCTTGACGACAAAGCCCGGTATTTCAATTTTTCCGAAACTTGTTTATTCTGCGCACACAACATTTTGAAACTCGAAGTTTATAAGTAAGTATCCAGTAGCGTATTAATTTTTTTTTGTGTAGCAGAAGACGCATTATGAGTTTACTAAGCAGATATAACATATGCAGAAACCTTGAAGGGTTGGTAATTGAAAAAAAAACCTACTTCGAATTGAACGCGAAATTGCATCTCTTGAATCCGAGTCTTCGCTAAATTAAAAGGAGTCTGAATAGCAAAAAAATTTTCTGGAAGTTAAGAATTTTTTTTGTTGATTTAGAAGCACGACCAAAAAGGGCTTCAATATGGTATCGTTGTTGATCTCCAAGTTTACGCAAGAAAATTTATATATTGCTCCCATATTTTGCCCGAGTACTCCAAACATAAGTATATATAACATAGCTATATTAGTATGAATTCTAAATTGAGGCTATTGTTTTTAGGTATCAATGCAGTGTCTGAATCACGTGGTCAGAACAGTGTGACCATTTTTAACAAAGTGCTGTACGACCGAGACAAAGATATCAGCGTGGTGTTATGCCAACCGCTGACTGGCAGGACCCACCAGATCAGAGTGCATGCTCAATACCTGGGACACCACGTGATTAATGATCCACTCTACGGCACAGATGCATGGGGCAATAGTGAAGGGAGGAACATTGACGATTTGAAGGAAGATGAACAGCAGGCAATCATTGCCAAATTGAAGTAAGATACACTTTAAGTATCAATGAACGTAGTTAAGACATTTATATAGGTCGTGATGAATTTTTAATTAAAGTTTTTTTATTTTGATGTCGTTCAATTCAAATTAATTTGCCAAAAGGAAGATAAATTGGTGATGTATTACAAATTGTTGACCGTTAACTTTCCAATATATTTATAGCAAACAACAGAAGTTAAAATGACATCTTCAATTTGAATCCCTGTGGTAAACAGCTTCTATGCTCAGCTGAGTTAAATAATTTGAATATGCCACCTGTTGTAATATATCACCGACAAATAACGCCGTCCAATTAAGAAAGCGGAAATCGTGAATGACTTTGGTTTGAAAATAGAATTTGATGACTTAAAGTTTCAGATTTCCCAGCGGAATAGAAAAAGTTACTTTTGATCCAGTTTTCTTTTATTGAAAAAAAGTTGATTATAAAATCTTCTTGAAATTTCGAGAGCTTCAGTGTTATATATATTTTCTCGAATTCCGAAAGCTTACTAGAGTCAATATTTTTTGTTTTTATTGAGCTTATTGGCACTTTTCCAACTTTTTATTGGCTATGTTTGTTCTTTTTCTACTGCAAATTCTAGAGTTATACATTGATTAATCTGCAATTTTCCTGCATTAGGGCCGAACATGACAACAGCTGTGGCATGGAATGGCGTAAGAAGAACAAGTTCATCAAACACACAAAAACGGAAGAAGAACTGAAGGCAGCAACAGACACACAAAGTGCACAGTTTGACCCAATTTGCGAGGAGTGTGGAGTTGATTACGAAGATCCGCCTCTTAATCAGCTGGAGATCTATCTGCATGCGTATAAGTATCAAATGCTTCACCAAACATTTACCGCCCCTCTACCACATTGGGCTGCTCATCATTCAGAGAGCATTGAGAGGCTTGCAAATAAGTTATTTCAAGCTGGAATCAAGGATGAAGAAAAACCAGACGAGTGCACAGTTGAAAGTAATCAGAAGGCAAAGGGAAAAGAAGAGATAGATAAGAAGTCTTTAGATAATATTTTACCTGCAAAGTGCTTAAAAACTGAAATCATGTAGTTTTTGTTTTTGAAAATATAGTGTTTTCAATTGTTTTTTTTTTGTTGAAATGTAAGTGATTAAACCTGAACTGCAATTAACGTTGAAATATTATATGGTCAGTAACGTGCCAAGGAAGGTGATTTTTGTCGAGTTTTCATCTAACTTCAAAACGGCAGACGTCCAGAAAGAGTTTTTTTTATATTACTCAAGATCGGTTACTGGGCTAGAGAATTCTGTGGATAGCGCGGCTCGAATGTGTATTACAATGTCATGAACAGGGGTTTAAAAACCTGATTAGTTTTTAACAAAATAACGGCTGAATCCTTCGGCTGAAACTTTGAAATCGTGGGTGGTGAGCATCAGGAGTGAAAATAGGCAATAGAAAAATATCTAGAGATCGCAAAACCAGCGAGTATTAATTGTTCCAGCGTTGGCCTTGGAAGAGGTTTTTGAACTCTGGGCTAAGATACAGATTTTGGAAAGCCAAAAATTTGACATTTTCGTTGAAAAACAATACAAATGAGATGATCTCATTATTCAATAGAAACGTGTTTCCAGTGTGTTAAATAATATTTCACCAGCCTTGGTTGATACAGTCCAGTTGTGTCTTTTCAATGCCTTTAGCCGCATATGCCACCTGGACTTAATTATAGTTTGATCATAACTTCGTTTTGCTGCCATATGCATGCACTAACTCGGCCAGATCTTGAAAGCTTGATTTTTTGTTGATTAAGAGTAGATGAATGTAGTGCAGACTGTCATATAGGTCGTGCTGATGTTTTTCATTTAGGAAAAGTCATTAAATTTGTTCAAACTCTAATTTAATTTTTCCCGGTTTTCACACTCTAATTTTTTCTAACCTAAGTCGCTAAAAAAGTGCTACGTTTGGGGCAATTTTAAAGCTGCATTAGCTGTGTAAGGCAATTGACTTTTGATTAATAATAAGTTAACACAGTTGATGGGTTTTAATTCATCAAACGAAGCGAAAAAAGTTTTTTTATTTGAATGTATTATAATTGTGCTTGCGATAAGCAAGCGTTATCAAATCGGAATAGAGACTTTTTTCGGGTTAACATCTTATAATAAAATCAGTTGAATCACTTACGATACTGCTGTGCAGCTGACATGCTCAATTTCATGAAAACTCAAATTTAACTACTGGGTGGGTACTAGTTACTACAGGGTAATTTCAGGGAGGAAACGGAGTTTAAAAAATCAGTTTTTTTCCGGCTCAACTGGTGTCTGCTCAAAAATAGGTTTTATGAAAATATAAGTTGGGTTTTGGTTATTTTTGTTTTGAGATGCTTTGATAAACTTTTTACTCATTACTTTTCAAAAAGACTTCAACCGATATCCAAACAAAGGGTATGCATAGAACGACCGCCTTCATTCTTGTGTGCCTGCATACTCGCCTGTATCTTTTTGCCTACAGTCTGAGGCGGAAATGTCTGACCAATATTTTTGATTTTTTTTCCTCAAATGCTAACCTACCAAATAAGAGTTTTTGGTTTCAATGAATAGAGTGAGCTTGAAAAGCTCACCTCCGTAATTTTCTCAAATGCTACCCTACTAAATGTGAGATTTTGGTTTCAATGAATACAGTTGATTTGAAAACCTACCCTCCGTAAGTGGCCACGACCAAAATTTTTTAAAATATAATTATGGACCTCGAACTAGTCATTTTTTTTGGATTTTTTTAGTTTTTTTTTAAATTTTCAGAAAAGTGTCAATCATGAATTGCTTTTGAAAGTCGGTTGCTTTTTCAATCACGAATTGCTTTCGAGGCTTAGGGGTGTTTATTTTTTTTGTCGTTTAAGGGCAAGGAATAGTTTTTCCATTTCCTTGCGTTTATTGAAACATTTCCAACTGTCTGTTGGCTATGTTTGTTGAATAGTTGCGTATTTCGGTACTACTATGTTCAATTTTGTTGGAAACTTTCTAGACTTGTTTTGAAAAAATCATTATAATCATACTGTAGGTATGTTTAGTGTTATGCCATGTATACACAAGCTGAATCGATGAGAGCAGTCCAATTATGGACTGATCGATGAGTTCAGTCCAATTAGGGAGTCGATGAGATCAGTCCAATTATGCCATGTATACACAAGCCGAATGGAGGAGATCTGTCAACTCAGTACCAATTATATGCGTTTGTATCATTATTCGTATACAGCTAAAGGCCTCAATAGTAGATTCTTTGTTATGACCAACTTAGACAGAGATTTCAGCCTCTGCGTGGAAATTTCAATTTTCAAGGCTGGTATTTTGTAGAGCTTCTTGTTGACAGTTGTTGCTTGTTTTTGAAGTGCAGCTTTGCCTCTATCTTAAATTTTTGTATCGTCCTGAGTTTTTCTTGCAATAGTTAGGGCTCCAATTGGTTGCCAAACTTTTTCCTATTAACAGCCGTGCGTTTTTTTGGGCATGCATGTTTGGTCAATTTAATCTTGATCTTTTTTGCTGAAGTAATTTTTTGTTGATCAAATTGCGTTTTCAAAAACAAGTAATGTATTTTCGATTGACAAGTATCTGCTGAAAAAGTATCTGCTTGACATTTTACCTGCTCACACATCTATGTTACCCTGGGAATATATTTTGAATGTATTTTAGCATGAAATAAATTCATTTTCTCTTGAGTCATCAACCACAATAAATAAATTTTGTTTAACTGCGGGCTTCACTATCTCGCCGTGCTTAAGCTTTTTCAACATGGTATCTTTGCATGTTTTACGAAAGAATTTTTCATGTTCAAGCTAAATCGTTTACTTTCCTTTTTGAATTCATTGTTTATATCACACCGTTTGAAATGAGCGACCCGCTTGTAGGATTCTATCAATGTACCCCAGGGGTTTGAATTTGGCCTCCAAATATGAATTCCCAAATCCTATTAGTTAACGAGATATGACTTTTTCAAAATTTTCAAAGAACTTAGATTAAAAAAACTTCACACGTTTTTCCGAAACCTAAAGTGAGTCACTGTCAATAAACAATCAGGCGTTGCAAATCTTGCCTCCAAATATGATGGCTCAATTTTTTGTAGTTTCCGAGATATGACGTTCTTTTTGATTTTTTCCATAAGTTTTCAAAAAAAACGCAGATATAAAAAGTTTCACAAAATTTGATTTTCCCAACTCTATAGTGGGGCGATGTCAGGTTACTCTCAGGCGTTGCAAATCATGCATTAAAATGTGACTGCTCAAGTCCAATTGTTCTCCGTGATATGACGCTTTTGGTGATTTTACAAAAATTTTCTGAAATTTTGTTTCAAAATTTTCAAATTCCAAACCTTATAGCGGGTTGCTCTCAGTGGTGGCAAATCTGGCCTCCCAATTTGGAAGCTCAAATCATCTTAGTTCCATTATAAGTTTTAAATTTCAAAAATTACTTTTCAAACATTTCGACTCCTTGGTGGGGTGATGTCTGGTTATAATCATCCTCTATCCTATTATTATTGCTCAAATTGACCATTTTAATGATTTTTTTGAAACTTTGCAGAAAATTAAGAAAACTAAGTTTTTTTAAACTAAGTTTTTGAAATTAATTACGCTGTATTAAACTATTGATGGCAGTGATGTTCGGTACGGGCTAATGAAAATAAAGAACAAAGTTAAGCAGGAAACTAATTTATGAGTACAGTGATTTTGCTGTTGAAATAATTTCAAATGTTTTTTTTTAATATGGAAAGGGCAGTTGAGCGCTTTCGACGTATTTAGGTTTTTGTTTCGTTTGTTTCAAGATGTGAACTCTGCAAGAATTTTTCCAGGTGAATTTTGCAGTTATTTTGTCTGTAGTTGCTACAACAACACTGTTGGCTATACTGATACTGGCATATTTGATATTGATCTTAAGAAGTTTTGCAGCTTAGATATTTAACCTCATGGGCTGGTAATTTTAGAAACTTCTGTCCATTTTAAATTTTCTAAGTTATAGCCGTTTTTTACATCACTATATTTTCGATTGTTATCGGTTCATTTTTTGTCTGCTTTGTTTTTCCGGCTTGGTTTGCACAGCATGAATTTTCTTCAGACTGAGATGTTTTTACTAAAATTGAAATTCATTTTGTTTCTTTCCTGTAATTTTTAATCTAAATAGATCCGATTTTATGTAATTTCTTGTTCAGCAGTCATGAACGTAAGGAATACTTCTATATGGTGTGGCTGATTTTTTTGTTTTGTTTTCTCAAAAATGTGTTCACGCTCATGTTTGATTTTTCGCGGTTTGACTTTTGATTCCTTTTAAAGTTCAGTTCATTTTTTTTGTTAAAAGGAAAGCAAAATCCACTATTTCTTTTGGTAAAAGGAAAAGGAAAGCCGGCTCAAATTTATTTTTTTTTGCGGTTCGACTTCTGATTTCTTTTTAAGTTCAGTTCATTTCTTTTGTTAAAAGGAAAGCAAAATCCACTACCGAACAGCAGAAGTATGAATGTCACGAAAAATGTGATCGGATGTTTTGGAGTTTTATATACAGAGTTCCCAATTTTCTCAAATTGGGTTAGTTGTACCAAAGAAGTGTCGATCATTAATTGTTCGTGAAATTCAAAGGGCTTTGAGGCCATTTTTTTCTTTCAAATTCGAAATTTGAAGTAATTAAGTTCAATTAGTAATTCATAATTTGGCAGTTTTGATTTTTCAGTTAAATATCGGAGTTTTTTGTTTATAGTTCATTAGCTTGTTCTTAATAAAATTAAACTGTCTGTCAGGATTTCTCCTTCAAGCTTCCAATTAGCAAGCGTATCAAATCGGTTCATTTTTCTTGGCTTCTCCGACTCATTTGGAAAAAAGGTAACGACTAAGCATAACACGGCAAAGGGGCTCGATTCGAATCCGGCTGACACCTGGTTTTAGAAACTTCAATTACTCCGTTTCAAAAAATTGTCTATTGTTTGTCTTATTTGTCGGCTTAGTTTGCCATCGCGGACTTTACGCCCGAATTTTTTTGAAATGACTGGCCTTGATTTTGTATATTTTATGTTTTTTATTCGCTGAAATGCTTAATTTGCTTGTGGTTTTTTGTTGTTTCTTTGTTTAGTTTAATGACTCAATTTTACACAAAAGAATAAAAATCATCAGCTCAGTACAAAGAGTTTCAGCTCAGCTGATTAGTTTAAAAGTTTCGGTGACAAAAAAATCGTTTTCGACCTAATGGGAAGCTGTTTGCTGAATTTTTGTCGGTTAAGTTGCCGCTCGCTTAATGTTTTTGAATGCTTATTTACGCCAGCGATGGTATTGCCACTTTTTTTTCAAATTGAACATCATTCGAGGCAAAAAAATATGAATTTTTTTGTAATTCTGAGTGGCCATGGTATCAGCGCGAGGCGTAATCTTTCAGTACCAGCAAGTTAATCACAGTTACAAAAAACCTTGCCGCACTTTTTCACTAAATCCTTAAAATTAGGATCAGGATTTTTTTCAGGTAATTTGAATAGTTGACGCTAATTTCGAAAGTTAACTGTGCCAGTCATTCATTTATCAGTGCGGTTAATTTTTTGGATGCCATTGCCACCCTGTATTTTTGGCTCGTCGACACAATTTCAGTTTTTGCGTTAGTGGCGTTCGTTTCATTTTTCGTCCGCTTGCTTGCAATGCTATGGTTGTCGCAAGTGGTGCGAAGCTCTACTTCGCCTCTGTGTAGATATTCGAGAAGGTTTTTCAAAGCGTGTATTAAAGTATCTGCAGCATCATAAGCTTAATTGCAGCTCGACGTTTTAAACAATTTTGCTCTTACAGTCATTATTTTTTCAAAGTAACGTGTAATATAAAATTTGCTTCAAAGCATGCTGAATATTGGATATCAAGCAGTTTATATAATTTGATCATTTTGTGTTTATTTTCAGATATGATACCAGTATAGCATTTGATTCTTAATTTAACCAAAAGTCTGTTAAATACCAGACCCAAATAAGCGTGAAATTACTTCTGCGTCGCAGCGAGCGAGGTAGATACGATAAAGCGATGCTTTCATCTGACCAAAACTTAGGCGACCGGTGGATGTTCATTATGAAGCAACCCCAAACTAGCTGTGGTAATGTTCGAACATATCTTTGAGCTCAATCATATACTTCTGCTGTCTTACAGGTCACACAAATTATATTCAATCTTGGACTCTTTTAGCGGGAATCCTAATCACTAATTCAAACAATCTTTCGGCAGAATCTGCTCACATTGTCACAAAAATCACCTTCTCTTGGTAACAGACTTATAATACCAGTGGACAGATACTAGAAGCTCTTTAGCTTTTGACATCTCTTCTATAGGTATCTTGTAATTCTTCTAGATGGACCTTCAAACCGCTTAGAACCTTGAAATCGGGCCGAGAAAGCAATCTAGTTCACGTCGCAACTGCTGCGCAGAAACCCAATTTTTAATCGCAGCGAGGACCTCGAGGTATTTCTGATCTGATATTTATGGCAACTCATTTTACTTTGAAGCATCAATAAGCCGTCTCGGATGAGTACTCTTCGTTTAAAGATAGAAAATATCTGAAATTAAGCCGGTTGATTTGGTTATTTAAATTGATCAGCTAGCCTATGAAAAAGATTACCTCAGAGTTTACTGTGATTGGCATATTAACCTCAAAAGTGTTGTTTTATCGAATTGAACAGGCAAAAATCAGAAACGTTTTTGCAAGTTGCTTCATTGACTATTTTATTTACTTAGAAGGCAACTGAAACCAATAAAATTATCAACTAAGCTTTTTGGCGTCATCCAATTTTTCTGCGCTAAAATTCGCTGATTAGTTCAAAAATGGATGAACGTCAGGCTTTGGGCGATACATTGAATAATGATTCAGAGCCCAGTCGCGACTCCTATCTAGATCCGAACTTAACTTCAAGCCCACTTGAACCGCCGGGAGTTTTGAGCAGCAACGACAACAACAATCGTAACTCAGACAGCTCAACGCTTGACAAAAGCGACAGGGATTCTATTGCTGAACTAATAGGAGATAACAACGACGAAGAACACATTAATCAGAAAGTCAAGTACCACAAAGAGCGGCCGCCGCCTCTGAAACTCGACACGAAGCTAATGAATGGTGTAAACAATAACAACTCAGATTGTGTAGTTTCTTTAATTTCCAATGACCTTGAAAAGAGTCACGTGAATTCAGTTACGAACCCCTATTACGCGGTTGTAGACGAGCAAGATACCGAAATCTACCTCAAACGAACTGTGGCGTTTAACTCATTCAAAAATATACAAGCCGAGTACAGAAGCGAGCTAGAGAAACGGAACTCGGGAAAGGTGAAACGAAAACTTAAAAAGTTTTACTCAAAGCAGGATGATTTTATCGAGTCAATTGAAGATGCGGAAAACTCCATCTCGGTAAGCAAAGACGACGCGGCCGAAGCATTGAAAGAATCAAATAAAGCTATAGCAGTTGCAGCTAAGTTATCATTCGTGGCTAATGTAATACTGATGATAGCTAAGTTAATAGCATCCTATCTCTCAGGTTCTATGGCCATTCTCTCCAGTCTTGTGGACAGTGTAGTAGATTTGGTCTCGGGAGCAGTTATATTTTACACGACAAGAGCAGCTAAGAGAACGAACTTCTACTCGTACCCGTTCGGAAGAACGAGGTTGGAGCCGGCCGCTATTATTATCATTTCAGTCGTGATGGGTCTGGCGTCGCTACAAGTTCAGATCCAGTCCTTACAGGTTATTAGATATTCAAAATTAAAGCTTAAAACATCATTCAATTATGCGTATAGTGATTACCATTTAGTGAATCAACATTTAATTTATTGTGCGGCTAGCACATTAAATTTTAAACGGAGAAACGGTGCGTATTCATAGGTTCCAAAATAAAAAATCAGTCCCATAGGTTCCAAAATAAAAAAGCAGTCGCATAAGTTCCAAATCTTTTCAATTGGTCAAAAGACTAAATTAGCCGAGTCTCGGTTTAAGGTCGCTGGTGGGCGCGCTACGCGCGCGTCGCCGCTTCGTGGCGATAACCGGCTCTAAATTTCGTATAGAGTCCTACCCTTTGGTAGGCTCAAATTTCAACCAATCAGAATTCAAGAAGATAAATTTTGGAACTTATGCGACTGATTTTTTATTTTGGAACCTATGAATATTGGAACCTATAGAAATTCACTGGAGAAACCACCGTGTCTTAAACCAAAGCGACAAAAATTCAAATTTTCTTGCAAAAATTTCAACGATTTACTGTGTTTACTTTTCAAAAGCTTCTAGTATCTATTTAGGAAATGTTTTCTTTTCAGATTTCCCAGCGAAATAAAATTTTTTTTTATTGATGGTGGCACAACAATTTTGGTAGAAATTTCATAGCATTTGTTCTCTGCTTTATTAGTGGCTATTGTTTGCCGTTGGTCAAGGAAATGTGGCATAGAGGAAAGGGCGTGAGGTTCCTAATCTACTGACCTGAGATTCAATGCAGCATTTGGCTGCAGTTTTGTTTATATTTGGTGGCAATTTTGCTGCATAGCATTGGCAATTTTTTTAGCAGCTTTAGCTGCGTTTTTATTGATTAGTTTTAGCAAATTTAAGGCATCACCTGACTAAGCTTATCGGACCTTTTGATATCCTTGCATATCAGAATTATGTAAATTGACAAATGTCTGTTGAATAATCTTTGATATGAAAACAATTTATTATTATTATGATTATTATTATTATTATTATTATTATTATTATTATAATTATGATTATTATTATTATTATTATGATTATTATTATTATTATGATTATTATTATTATTATTATTATTATTATTATTATTATTATTTTTTATTATTATTAAACTTCCAAATGACCATGACGCCGATGCGAGGAGGTGAGACTCTTTATCGCGATGTCGGAGGATCGAATTCGACACATCAGCATTATTCTGTGCTTTTTTTAACCTTTTTATTTCACTTTATAGAGCTGCTTTTTGTCTTTTCTCGCTTTCGTTTGTGAAGTGGTGCATGCAGCATAGCCTCTGTGTTGAAATTTCTTACATATCACGACTGAATTTTGATCTAATTTGAAGTTACCTGAAGTTGCGAATAAAAACCCACTGTAGGCTTCAGTTTTTCCATGTTCTTCAACACACATTTCGTGCATCATATATTACGCATAAAAGTCCCTAGTAAATATGAGACGAAATCTTCAGGGTGGCTAAACGTGCAATATTCTTTCAAATAGTAGTGGGAACAAGAAGGGATAGAAATGTCAATTTTAAATGTGATGAGGGATAGAAATGGAGTTTTTAGGGTTACATGTCAGTATTTAGACAGCCGCGTATTCATACTGGTCAGTATTTAGACAAATACTGTTTCAACCAATGAGAATCGAGACAAAGAAGAAATTAATAAATAATTATTATTTATTTTGGATTATTTATGTTTTTTCTCGATTCTGATTGGTTCATACAGTATTTGTCTAAATACTGACCAGTATGAATACGCGGCTGTCTAAATACTGGCTGCACTCCAGTTTTTAGGAAGAACACAACGAGTTGTAATATTTGTTTTTAAAATTATGTTGTAGCAACTAGCGTGTGGTGAGATTTACCCCGACTACCAGTGGGTGAGTTCAGTTCGACTGAGTTCAACTTAAGACTGAAAGTGATAGTCATGATGGACCAGGTGAAATTCATGCATTCAAACGAATTGATTTCTAAAATAAACGGAAAAGTGGCTAGTCTTTGACTGGGCACTTAGTTTCGATACCATTTTCAAGCACCATGTATGAACACTAATTTATCGATGAGATTTTTAAAATAGGTATTACTATTAACTCAAAGATAGTTAAATTAAATAGTACAAGAACAAATTATTTTCTGAACAAAAGTGAAAGCAATTTTCAAGGCGCTGTTATTGGAATTTATCAAAATTGAAAATGAGAATCTTGAAGAGAAGTGCTCAGTCGAACTGTGCTTCCAAACTATCTGAACTCATCATTAATATGTCCTAATTGTTGAGATCAACCTGGTATAGAGCTACAACTGAAACAATTAAATCGCTGTAATTGTCTGTTTCAGCAAATCATCACGTGGAGCGCGGACCCGCACGTGGACTTGATATCTAAGATCATGGTGTTTGTGACGGTAGTGATGAAGCTGCTGCTGTTCCTCTACTGCAGGAGGATCCACTCTCCATCCACCCGGACACTGGCCACAGACCACTTCAACGACATCATAGGCAACTCATTCGCTCTCGCCTGTGGATGGGTCGCCTCACAGTTCACATTCTTGAAGGTCGTCGATCCCATTGGTCAGTTCAAACGAAAATTGGCAGTTGCACTTTTTTTGGTTCTGCAGTCTCAGCTTCGGTTTCATTTCGTGGTTCCTCCGACCACGTCACGAATTTAAGATATGGGCTGAATTCTTCATATTGCGAAATCTGAGTTTTTTTTTACTTTTTGATTCTAATCATACAAATGATTGTTAAATCGAGACTTTTGAAGCATGTTTTTACCGATGAGTCAATCATGTTAAAATAAACTTGGGGGAAAAATGGATAAAAATTCGTCTTCATATGTTTTACTTATTTTTCTTTGCTTTACTAACTGTCAAACTTGCTACTTGCAAACTAACCGGCTATCCTGAAAAGCTAGCTTTCAAATTCTTGAGTTTACCATCTACGATTGGCAATGAAATGTATGTCATGATTTTTGGTCTGGGAGGTAGATTACAAAATATACTTATCTTAAGTAATAATAAAGATCTGAGGTTGTTTGAATTTTGAACTGTGTTCTTAACAAACAATTAGATAGGCTTAAACTTGATTTGTCTGTACAGTATTGCTGTCAATAAAAGAATCTTAAGTTCTTGTTACAAAATTTCTGTACCTCAGCTCAATTGACAATTACTAAATGAAAATTTCTGGTTTATTTTGAGCGGGTTTATCTGAAACACCCTATTTCACCGATAAAAGTACTCAAAAAATACCTCAGTTAAACAATGCGCTTAAACAATGCGTAATTGAGCGGAGGTATTGACACAACGTAAAAGATAGATGTATATTTTGTTGGGATCAACAATTTTCACGATGTTGAGCTACGTGAATATAAAATTTCATATTTTGCCCAAAACTTACTTGTATACACTCAGTTATCTACACTGGTGGACAAAATTAAGTTATATACTCGCTTAAATGTCTAACTTCAACTATCATTTTGGACAAAATTTCAGCAAACTTGTTACATCGGCCGTGAGCAAGTTATCTCAACTACCCTCTATGAAATTTTCGGTAGTTGGATTCTTGCAGGGGCGGATCTAGGATTTTCTCGAGTAGGGTAGATTTTCAAGAAGTTTTTGAAAATTTTGTCGACCTTTTTTTAGGTTGGTCAAACTTATTTTCCGAGCGCTCTCAGAACACATCAAGGACACTATTTTGACTTAAAAAAATTTGCGCTGGTCAAAAAAAGCCGTTTTTGGACCCTTTTTGGAAAATTTTGACTAAAAACCCTCAAAATTAGTATATATTGGCGCCCTTAGAAAATATTTAGGGTCGGTCAGCCAAAAACGGATTCGTAAAAAGTACCAAAGGGGGGATCTTTTGGGCCGGCAAGGGGTCGAATCCCCGAGGGGAGGGGGCTTACGAACCCCCTCCTGAATCAGCCCCTGGATTCAAGGGATCACTAGTTTTTTGGGGTCTGAAAATGCTAGTTATTACCATCTGCAAGAAGTTTTAACAGCGTGAATTTTTTCACTACTTAACTGCGTGAATTTTTTTTACTAAGAATTGGAATAAAAAGTGAGTTCAGCTATAACAGTCAGTTGATAAAAGTGTGACAACTTTCATAATTTTGGATCTTTTACAGTTTCATCCTTCAGATTGTGATGACTGGCGTTTTCAGACCCTGAATAAACTGGCAAAACTGTTTGAATTTGAAGAGCGATAAAGTTATTATAAAGGATAGCTGATTACCCTAAGCAAGGGTATTGCAATCGGGTTCTAGACTTTATTTTTTCCCGTAAACAACTTTGTCCACAAGATCTTCAATTTTAGAGGATCACTTCTAGAGGATCTTTCATCTGACTTGCTCAATTTCTTGAAAGTTCAAATCAAAGTACTAAAACTTAGCTAGTAATTAGTTCAAACCCGTTTTAGATTAAAATTATTTTTAAAAACGTCTCATTTTTTTTGCGTTCATGGTTTTCGTCCCAGTTTATAATGGTTCAGGTTCCGTTTTTTTAAACGCCCTTTTTTAGCTGATAGGGTTTTTATTGGTTTACTTTTTAAAGCACGGCTTTTGTTCTAATTTAAACAGTTTTTTTATATCAGAAACTTCACAAATTTGTAAATTTACCACGTAGCAAAATATATCCGTTTGGGAATATGTTTCAGTTTGGATGGGTCGTAAAAACTTTCTTAAATTTATTGCAATTTTTATGACAACAGTTTTGTTTTCAGCTCAACAGGTTTCGATTCAAAGTTTGTCGCCTTTGTTGCCGCTCGTTTAATGATTTCCATTTTTTAAGGGCTATTTATGAACTTCATCTGATACAAATATGAAGTTTTATCGCTGTAATTTTTCAACATTTGTCAAGTTAGTTTTTCAAGTAACTTTTTCCAATTTAATTGTTCAGAAAATTTTATTTTTGTCTTTTTCCTTGTCACTATTTTGTAGCGCTATGTGTTTTTTTTTGCATTGCAAGTGTTGCGAAGCTCCTCTTCGCTTCTGTGATTATTTTGCTAACAGCTGATCCAAAAGTTTGTTTAAATTCTTAACTTAATTTTGCCCACTAGTGGACATCAAAAAAATTGAATTCTTGAAATAGAAAAATTGTAACAGACTTTTAAGAACCGTGCGTATTCACCAAAATAAGCATAACGGAAAACCCTACACCTCCATTTGGTAAGCCTCTTTTTTAGAGTTCTTCTACCGTTTCTCCATGGCCTACCTTTTTCTAGGTTTCTAGTAATTTTTAATGAATTTTCTATGACGATGTTTGATTTTTCAGGTGCTATTCTGATCTCGTTCTACATCTGCTACAATTGGTGGAAGACTGGCTCGGACCAGATCAAAGTCATCACGGGGAAGACAGCCCCGCCCTCCGTCTTAGCCAAGATTACCTGGCTCTCCCTCTACCACGACACCAAGATCCGAAACATCGACACAGTCAGGGCATTCCATCTCGGGTCCGGATTCCTAACAGGTGGGTTGCTATTCTGCATAGTTCTAATATTTCAGATCTTGGCTGCAATCGGGAGTAAATATTGCAAAATTGAGGAGCTCGTTTGTTTCGCCTCTGTTAAGTATCATGCAATGTAATTCATTTGAGAGCGTCGATTTTTGGGGCAAGTGTTCCGTGCTTCTTCATGCTAATTTTTTCTCTTCTTTCGCCTCAACTTGAGTCTCATGTTGAATCTCAACTTGCAATTTTAGTCCAATGAGTTGTTTCGAAATAATATTTCGTGATACAATTTTCAGTTTTTCATCTTTCCTTGGTGTTGTGCAATGTTTTTTTTTACATTCAGACGTGCACGTGACATTGGATGAGAATATGAGTCTGCGAGAAGCTCATGACATCGGGGAGTCTCTGCAGAACAAGCTGGAGCTGCTCTCGGAGGTGGAGGTGGCCTTCGTCCATCTAGACTACGAGAACGACCACAAGGCATTCACAGAGCACGCGTTCCTCATGCGAAAACCGATTAGCGAGAAAATGAACACGCCCAGGTCACGAACTGCGTCCGCCACCACGAATGCATAATTTTTAAAATTGTAATGCTCTTCTGAAAAAAACAAGCAGCAGTGACAAAAACCTAACCAACGCATTTCGAAAAATAGACGCCCTTGTTGGATTCATAAATGGATTGACCTATGTTATTAGTACTGCGGAGCAGATGAACCGAACCCATGCCTTAAAGTTGATCGAAGTGGCTGGAAAGAAACGATAGCGAATCTCAGGGTTACCTTGGTTTTGTAAAAATATCGCATTTGCATTTAAAATTGATTTCTTGTACCGCTGAAAGCTTGTATTTATTTTTGTTACATAAAGTCGATCCTTTTCCATGTGCTGAAATTCAAACTAATAATTTAATATCCTCGCTTCTGTTAACATTCGTTTTTGATAGAGTAGTCCCAAATCACGCTAATTCTAAACAAATATACAGTGATGATTTAAATGAATCGGACTCAATGAACAACATTGAAAAAATCCGATGCATTTCTCTCAAATTGGGTTAAGATTAGACAAAACGTGAATAGAACAAAAACTTTACCAGATTTTGTGCTTCAAAAAAAACTTTTGCGCAAATTTCTGATAATTTTATCTTTCTAGAACTTCTTTGTATTATGTAAGAGCCTTCTTTTGAAATAACTTTCTCATCCATTAACTCGGTAGTTCCAGCGTAATTCGTGATTAAAACCAAAACGACCCATTGTTGGGGTAAAGGTTTGTTTGCGTAATTCCAAAATTAAATTGCCCCAAATTCATTCTTGTAAAATCTGGGGGTTGAGAAATTAGACGATAAGCCAATTAGACGGAGGTACTTAAAAGGAATATAGACGATTTTACAAAACTGCGATTGTGAGAAAATAGACGAAAGTAAGAGAGATTGAAATTGTTTGCTGACAAATTGCGCGAAAAAAATATATTTGTTTGTAGACAACAGTTAAATTTCGGTAGCCAAAAATTTTACAGGTCAATCATGCATAATTTATTCAATTCAAAACTCTCTTGTAATATTCGGACTTGACATTTTTTTTGTTCATTTAAACTAATTGTTTTGATAGGTATTGACATTTTATCTTCTTTTTGTATTTGTGAAATTTGACTCTTAAAAAAAAATTTTGTTGGCCCTTGCCTTTTCATAGCTTTTTCGTCTAAAATGCCAGATCTGTAAAAAATAAATTCCGTCTAATTTCGTTTTTGTTGCATCCGTCTAATTTGCTTATCGTCTAATTTGCTTATCGTCTAATTTCCTAGGCCCCGAAATCTAAGCAACTTTTGTTCTCTTCCCTTTTTGTCTAATCTTGACCCAATTTGAGAAAAACGCGTTTAAAGTTTCCGATGGTGTTCGTTTTTGTCTGGATAAATTAAATCAAGTGTAGCAATTAAGTTGATCATTAAACGCCGCTCGAATGTTTTCCATTTTTCTCGAACGTAATTAACCTGTCTAATTTGCGGTGGCGTAGCGATTAGCGTGTGTTCCTATAAGCATGCAAAAGTGGCCTTAACTGGGTGTGCTTTCAGACGAAAAACTAATTAGCCGAAAATTTTAAATAGCTTCAAAAACCACTTCATTTGTTCGGAAGTTGAATTTTCATTTTCGGGATCAACCGTATAATCCCCCCTCTTAAGTTACCTACCATAGAATGTCCTCCCCAAGCATGAATTAGTTTTGAAAATTAATTCCGCATAAAATATTCATATGATACAAGCGGGCTAAATATACTGCTAAAAATTTTTTTTGTACCGAACAGTTAATAGCGTAAAATAGTAGTCATATCTTGTTAATAGCGTTAAATAGTAGTCATAATGGGTCTTATCTACTAAACGGCCCAAAATCAATTTTTCTACATCGTAAGCTGGAAATTATGCGATCAAAATTGATTGGGTAATTTTAGCCAATCAAATTCAAGTTACATGGTCAGGCATTCCGATCAACTTTTCTAGCAGATAAAAATATTAGCCGAAATTGCCGAAAAGGTGGAACTTTGAGTCAAATTATCAAATTAATTTTGAGTCACTTGTGAAACCTTGTCCAGACATGCAAAATTCAGTAAAATGGCTTGACAAAACAAAATTCAATTTTCGTTATCATTTCGGCTAATAATTTTATCTGCTTGAAATTTCAGTTGAAATGACAGAAGATGTCGATGGAACTAGATTAGCTAATTAGCCAATCAAATTCATCCACAAAAATTTCAGTTCAAGAGATGTAGAAATAATGAAATTGGGGGGCCGTTTAGTGCATTAAGACCCGTCATAATTTCCTTAACTAATTTGATTGAATTGTTTCGTCCTCGAGGTCAAACTCTGAAAAATGGTATTTTATCCTCCCTTTATTGATTAGGGGGAGGGCGGAATTGTGCGGTTGATCCCATTTTCGTGTAAATAAGAGTTTGGCTAAATGCACGCTGTTCAAAATTGCAAGTTTAGGTGAGAAAAACGTGAAATAGCGAATGATATGTTCAAAGTACAGTCTTTTATGTGGGCATGCTAATCGACGCACATGCTAATGCGCCGATCCCCCTTATTTGTGTTTTTTACTTATTCGGCCCAAAAATTATGAAAATACCTCATAGATTTGTTCCCTGGCTAACCCATTCGGTACTGTTTAAAGACCAATTTTTGGCTGGTTGAACCTGACCGTAAAGATTTGCCTGCGGTGTAAAACATTTGGAGGGAGGTGGTTTTGGAAAAGTTTTGAAAATTTTGAAGATTTTTTTAGGTCGAACAATTTCATTTTCCGAGCTCTCCGAAAACACTATGCGGAAATTGACTATTTGTGAAATTTCGAAAAAAAAGCAATCCAAAAAGCGTCTTCAGAAAGTTTTAGAGGTTGGTTAGCAAAAAATGGATGTAAAACTATATACCAAAGGGGGGCCATTTGGAAAATTTGGTAACCAGTATTGAGGGAAGATTTCGTCCCAATACAGATTTCGTCCCATGACAGATCTGGTCCCATTTTAATTTCAACAGATTTCGTCCCATTTCAAAGCGTACACAGATTTCGTCCCACAAATTTGGATATGGGATGATAGGATGTTGGATATGGGACGAAATCTGTATGGGGCCAAATCTCTTAATTAAATAAATAGGACGAAATCTGTAGTAGGGCGAAATCTGTGCCAATCTTTAAGAACTACTCGTTACAATGGTGCGCACCTACAGCGCCGTACTCCCGGATAGCCGAAAAAAAAAAACTAAATACCTCCGGTTTTAATTAAATTTGTCACTAAATCAAAAATTTTTGTACCTGTTTGCTAAGGAAATTTTCGTGGAATATAAACCGGCCGAAGTATCGACCAGTCGAAATTACGATGCAGGGGCGAATCTAGGATTTTCCCGAAAATCTTGACGACCTTTTTTTGTAGGTCGATTGATTTTACGAGCTCTCCTAAAGCACTAAAAACGCTGTTTTGGCCAAGTTTTTAGCGCCGCAGGCAAATTTTTGAAAAAACAGGTCAAGAAAGCCGTTTTTGGGCACTTTTTGGAAAGTTTTGACAAAAAAATTGCGTTTTTTTTGGCGCGCGCTCCCCCTCAAAGTTAGTATACATTGGCGCCAATAATTTTATCTGCTGAAATGGTGATTGAAATGCCTGGCCGCGCTGCTTCCATTTGAATGGTTAAAATTAGCCAATCAGGTTGGAGCGCAAAAATTTCAGCTCAAGATATAGCTATATTGATTTTGGGTCGTTTAGTGCATAAGACCCGTTTTCGGCTTTCCGAGAACGAATGTATTTTTCGAGTGTTCGGCTCCATGACACGCCACCGTTACAACAAAGTTGATGCTTGTGTGAGATGGGGGAAAAGATAGAACGAGTGCCTAAGCACCGTTGGATATTTCCTAGTGGCTCTTTTCACTCCGACACGACACCCCACCTTTCAAAATACTATCTTGGTTTTACGTGTTATTACGGCTAAATGCGTGATGTTACGATGTAAAGTATGGCGAACAAATCTGTTCACAGTTGTCAGTTTGTTCACCACGCCAAATTTCATTGAATTATGACAACCTTAAATAAGCTTTTCAAAATTGGCCTTCCTGGCAAAGAGCCTGCCTGGTTTGTTTGATTTGCTTTGTCGAGTGAAGTAAGATCAGCACAGTAACTATTTTGTCTTTACTAAACACTGTTTATAGCCAAATGTATACGGTTCAGTCTGATTGTGCAGCGTTGTTTTAGTTTGACACTAATCTATTGTGTGTCAACTGGTCCCATGGTGTAATGGTTAGCACCTTGGACTCTGAATCCAAAGATCCGAGTTCAAATCTCGGTGGGACCTTAAGTTTTAGGACCCAGTTTTCTTTTCAGAATCGCAATGCCAACGTAGATTGAATCTTCAGATTTAGATGCACACATTACTGCTAGACCGAAATCAACAAAATTAGTTGTTCTACATTTTGTCACTGAGACAATTTATTCACTACCACGCTTTTGCACCTTCACAAGAAGAAACAGAATGGTATAAAAAAATCGACTACGAAAGTTAAATTTTGACATCAACGGCCTTGATTGATTGAAGCGTGGACTCCATAACCTATTCGCCATTCGGTACTACTTTGATAGCGGTCCCTCGAAAAAGCAACTATGATAGATAGGCCCCGCATGCAATTCGCATGTTATAATTTTGAAAACTAATTTGTGTATAAATTATTCATTTCTAAAATCCCGCGAAATATTTTGAGTCGGAAACTTTTCAGAAGACCATATGATTTATATCAAGAAGTATGCTCGCTTCTTGTTTTACGCTTTAACAATCATTATTTTGTTAACTTATTTGTCATAAAAACTCAATTTTGGCGTTTTTTTGAATTTTTCACTTTAAAATGGTGAGGGAGAGGTTTTACGAAGTAACGAAACATCAAATGATTGAAAATATATTGCGACAGCCTTCTGAATGGCGAACTTATGATAATTAAATGATTTGAGAGTTCTGGGGATCTTTTTCTTGAGGGACCACTCAATCATAGTAGTAACCCGCCATTCCATTCCCACCAGATATAGTAACTTGAGTGCCGAACAGACAAAGAGAGTATAGACAGATAGATGTCAATGTCTGGGGTGGATGGGTCTTACCGGGAGCAGTTGGTGCGGAGGGAGTTGTCGGCAAGTGCCCACAAGTCCATTCACAGCCTCCCTCTCAACATACTGCAGTTAATTCTCTTTGTGAGTACTACTACTATCCTCGGTCACCCGCCTTCAATCTGCATGCAGGAGGTTTTTCAAAGTTACACCGCAATTTAGGTGGCGTGTCACGCAGCCGAATACACGGATAGCCGAGAAAGAATTTCGGGTACAAGAGTGATAGAGGGGTCCCGGTAAAAACCAAGTGTGAGATGGGGGGGGGGTGATTGATGGTGAAGGGTAACGATATGACAAACATCCGAAAAACCAAAAAGTTTTCAAACATCCGAAAACGGCTTTACTAGGGCAAGCATCGGGTCTTATGCACTAAACGGCCCAAAATCATTGTTTCTACATCTCTTGAACTGAAATTAATGTGGTTGAATTTGATTGGCTAATTAGCCAATCAAGTTCCATCGACATTTTCTGCCATTTCAATTGAAATAATTTTGCCATTTCAAGCAGATAAAAATATTAGCCGAAATGATAAAAAAAATCTGAATATTTGTTTTGTTAAGCCATTTTATCAATCTTTTCTTGTCTGGGTAAGTTTTCACAAGTAACTCAAATAGACCAAGTTAAGATCCTCCACCCCAGCGCTTAATTTAAATTAAATTTGCTAAGCGCTGCATGGAAAATGCTCGATTCTGATTGGCTGAAAATTCCCAACTTAGAACCAAGTTAACATCCTCCCCTCTAAACGTGTTTAGGGGGGAGGATGTTAACTTGGTCCGATTATTTTAACGAAGTTCCTCCTTTTCGGAAAATTCGGCTAAAATTTTTATCTGCTGGAAAGTTTAATCGCAATGCCTGGCCGTGTAACTTGAATTTGATTGGTTTAAATTACCCAATCAAATTCGATCGCATAATTTCCAGCTTACGATGTAGAAAATTTGATTTTGGGCCGTTTAGTGCATAAGAACCAAGCATCCGATGTTTTTCAAAAGGTAGGGCAAAGATCCGATTCCTAAGTTCCTTTAAAATATGCTGTATTGGCCGAATTAATTGTGACCGCCGCAGTCGCACCAACGTGTTGCGAGCTTGCTACAGTGTGTAGGACTCTGTATACAAATTTGAGTCGGTTGTTGCCTTGCCGCGAAGCTGCAACGCGAATGTGGCGCGCCCACCGACGAGCTCAAATCGAGAGTCGGCTAAATTGGGAACGGATAATTGAACTATGTCTTGTTTTCTGAAATTCTAGCGTTATATTATTACATAATTATCATTTAACTTTGGATGTTTGACATAGCAAATGTTTGACATATCGGACATTTTCTCTAGACCCGGCGATGAAGTCCCATCGGTACCAAGGTTCATTTGCACCAAAATGGAAAATCGTTCCCATTTGTTCCAAAATTGTTCACCTCGAATTCTGATTGGTCAAAATAATGAGCTCACGAAGTATTAAGTTAATTTTCTGTTCAAACAGCTGAAATCTAATTAGCAGAATAGTGACCGCTGCAGTCGCACTAACGCGTTGCGAGCTTGTCAACTGAGTTTAGGACTCTAAACAAAAGTTAGAGCCCCACCGGCGAATTTAAACAAAGAGCTTAAACATCGGCTCAAAAGTCTTTGGCCAATTTAATATTTTTGTTACAAAAGCGATTTTTTGGGATAAATGGGACTGATTTTTCCTTTTGATTCTAATGATTATCCACGTGAAAGACAAGGAGACGGGTTTTATTGAAACAGAGCTTATTAATGAGCAAAACAAACAAAATGAAGATATTGTTGCGGGGGTGTTTCATGATGGAGGGACCGAACGATGGAAACTTGAAAACAATCAGAATTGTTCGACGCTACTGTTGTCTAAATGACTTTTGCACTAAACCGAAGCCCTTTTTAACAGATAATGAATTATTGCAGCACAGCAAGGTTTTGCAGTACAGTTCGTGCAGATTTTACAATAATTTTTTTGGTTTGTTTTTTTAATTTTTAAAATCGGTTTTATGTATTTTCCACCACTGGACTTCGATTTCGGAATGTTGAGAAATTATGAATTTGTTTTTAACTGGTCAATTGTAATTTCGAATACCTGATTCATTTGATTTCTTTGAGGTTTTTGCGATTTCTTTGAGGTTTTTGATTACTCAATTCTGCTTGGCTGAAAATAAGTTACAAACGTTTAAGCGAATAAATGAACGATTTAGGCGGTAAACAAATTTTTATTTCACAACTTGCTTGCCCTAAAATTGAACGTAAAAAACACTATCTGCTGTTGTAAACAATGAGTCAATTTTCGGCTAATATTTTTTTTCTAATTTGGTGCCTGGCTTCAGCTTTGTTTGCTCTACTGCCTCTCATAATTGCCGATTAAGGTCACTGTTTAGATAAGACACTTCTCCCTGTCATTAACCGAAAGGGCTGTCAAATCAAACTAATTTACAAAGAGGGTTCCCAAATCACACTTATTTCCCAATTCTCAATTAACTATATCCATATGCGCCGGTCGGTTGTTCCAAAATTCTTTCACATCTAATTAACCTGACATTTTTGAGCCACCTATTTATACTTAAATTGACATCAGCGAAGTAATAAATTGATGAATTTTGAGGCATTGTATTTAAATTGAGGACCCTTTAATTTCTTGAGACCCCTATTTTTGTTCAGTGATATACGTAGTTTTTTTGATTTGCCGATAAATTGATGATTTTGTTGATGCTTATACAATCCTCCCCACAAAGCCATTTAGAGCAGAGGATGTTAACTTGGGACTGATTTTTCATTTTGCTACTACTTATGATCCATCTTAATGACAAGGTGGCGAGTATAATCCAGACAGAACCTAATGACGAGCAAAACAAACAAATAGGCGTCCTCTTGATGGATGGACCTAATGATGGAAAACTTGAGAACAATCAGAATCGTTAGACGGTACTATTGGCTAAATTACTTGTGAACAAAATTGAAATAATTATTAACAGATTATGAATTACAGCAGCACAGCAAGGTTTTGCTCTACACTGCGTGCAGATATGCAACAAGTTTTTTGCTTCATTTTTCAAGTTTATAAAATCGAGTTGGATTTCGCAATATTTGAAAATATACGTATATGCGCATTTTTTAATCTGTAATTTTCATCTTTAATGCTATGAGTTCTCTTTAAGATTTTCGCAATTTTTTGAGTTTTTTGAATACTCAGTTCTGATTGGCTGAAAGTATCTGAAACTAAGTTTCAAACAATCGATCCTTCCACCACGAGAGATGCCACCCTTTGGTGGTCAATTGAACCAATTAGGTGGTAAACGATTATTTGTTTCACAACTATTCCCTCAAATGCTTGCCCTCAAATCGAACGTAAAAAAAGAGTAACTGCTGTAGTAAATAATTTTTCAACGTTCGTCTTCTAGTTTTCTTTTAATTGGGTGCCTTGCTTCCGCTTGCTTTTGCGCTACTGCTTCTCTTAATTGCCGATTAAGTTCACAGTATAGATAAGACCCTACTCCCTGTGATTCACCTGGGGTCTCTCAAATCAGACTAATTTTTCAAAGATGGTTCTGAAATCAATTTTTTTTCTTCAAATTGCAGTTTACTAGATCAACAATCGCCGGTCGGTCCTTCCAAAGCCGGTCATTCCTCTCAAAACCTGCCATTTTAAACCTACCATTCTAATTCGATGCCTAAATTGACATAAGCGAGGTAATAATTTGAACAATTTTAAGTCATTTCACTTACGTTAGGTACGTGTTTTTGAGTTGCTTTTATTAACTGTTCAAGGATGTAGTGAAATAGTGAGGAGATTCAAATAACAATAGTCTCCTGAAGGACTTTTAAGATACCGCAAGTTGTGTGTAAAAGCTTCAAAATCAATGTTCTGGCTAGAAATTTCTCAATCTTGGCGCACCATTAGATACTGTTTTAAGACTATTCGTTTTCATTCTTTATGTAACTGATTTGAAAAAGCATTTCATAGAAACATGAATTTATTGCGATGTGTCAAGATCTTTTGTGCAGGAAATTTGATGTTGTACATAAGAACATCGATGCTAGAAACACATCGATGCTAAAGTACATGAGTATTTGAATGAAAACAATCTGTCTCCAATGTTGATAAAACATAAATTATTGTTTTGGGGAAGAGGACAGCTAAGATCAATTATTTACATAGGAGAACCAATCCGCAAAAGAACACGTCAGGTTTTTCCAGTTTTTTTAGCTCATTTAAATAAATACTGAAGCAAAATGGTTGTTGCAGTTCAGTCAATATACTGCGAGACTTATGGTACCATTAGCTAAAGTTTTTGCCTCATTATTGTTACAAAAATTTTGCCTCATTAGTTTTGTCTCATTTTTGTTCTAGGTTAGCATTTTTTTTTGCAAATTAACCCATGTCTCAAGTTAACAGACCAAACAAACATTCGAAGAATAAAATGCGCTACTTTGCAGAAAATGTGATCCTGCACAAAATCTTTAACCAAATTCAAAGGTTCACCAGCCGAACTATTCATTATCAGCATAGCCTCACTAGAATTTTCTATGTTGCGAAAAATAGTAAAACAATTGAAATTGGTTGGGCGCATATCTATAACAGAGTACCTGTGAAAATAAACGATTAAATAAAACAAAATAGGCTTTTCACAAAATGGAAAAAGAAATTTATAGCAAGCCATTGCTGTGATAAATGGAGCAACATAAACGTAAAGCTTAGAAGTGTTAAATCTGAACAAACAATCAAATATGAAAGTGAAAAGTTTTTGATAGACATACACTAAAAGTTTCCTGATGATATATTCATTAGTTGTTCTGAGATTATTTTTTTCTAAATAGTAGCTTTGATTGCACACCGGTGTAATTGTGCATTTTTTTAGCTTACTATGATACTTGAAATCTGTATCGTTGCAAATTGTTCGCAATTAGTTACCTTCAAATAATTTTCGAAACTGCTTTAGCAAATTGAATCACGTTTGATTAGATAAACCGAAATTGTACAAAGTGTCTTCCTGGTATCTGCCTTCGCTCTAAAATAACATTCATTCCAAAATAATTTCTTCCCATGCTGAAGTCGTTGAAAAAGTATTTTTTTGACCTCGAGTATATTCTGAATCACGACTGAAAGAGCTTTTATGATAGGTTTCTCGTATCGAGGCCACCTAAGTCAGCGCTGGAAGTTTCTTAGCTAGACCATTGCAGCTTTCTTTCTGCATCGATGTGATAATTTGAACGACAGAAAAGTTGAATGTGGTAATTTTGATCAAACAGCAGAAAGCATGTTCTAATTAAATTTAATTTAGATTGCAAACGTGGTGTTGGCATTTGTGTGGGAATACTTATACGATAAGGAGGATGAAAAGTGGAAAGATGGATTCGGAAACCCCTTCTCGGTACAAGCGTACTACAACGTGTTCAATTGGCTCGTCCTCTTACTCATCCACACTGTGTTGAGACGCATGCACAGGACTTCCCTGGCTGAGGGCTACTTCTCATTCTATAGACGCACGAAAGAAATCAGAGGCGCCCCATTCTTCATCAGCTCAATCGGTCAGTCGATAAAGTTTACTATTGTATTGTAGTGATTGGCTCCCCTTCTTTTGCCTTGTGAAACAAAGTAGGAACTCGATGTTTTTACAAGCTCATTGCAAGTTGTTTCAAAATTACTTACTTGGCACTAAGAAGTAAGTTTAAAATGATTTGCTAAATGTATCAAAATACTTCAAGGTCGCAAATTATTTCAAAAAATGTTAATTCGTGTTTCTGCTTGCGATAAGGATAATCCAGACATGTGAAATAACTGATACATGAGTTATTTTAAAAATTTTCAGCGGTGACGATTTGTATATCATTAAATTAAAATTTAAAAATAATGAATGTAGAAGAGGCCGATCGCACTATGGAATACTGTTACCACATGTTCTTAAACAATTTGGGAGTTTTTCATGATTCAAAATTCATTATCGACCGGTGATTTTACGATTGTAGCTTGAATCTTACGTCTGTTTTTAGTGAACACGATGCTGCTGGCGCTGAACAATGTTCTGCGAGATCTGACCCTAAATGACCCGGACAAAGACGACGAATACGCACTGCACATTATACAGGGGTTTTTCATTTTGGAGTTGCTGTGCGCTTCTTTCTTCATACTGAAATACTGTTGTAAGTCTTTTTGCTCTCGATCTTTGCGAACTACTTTGGTTGATAGGCGAAGCTTAGGTTTGCATCTGAAACTTGGACAAAAAAGTAATGCTTAGTTAATATCTTGCTTATTTTGAGAATTGGGCTGAGTGGTAGCAATAAAACCAAAGTACGTTTTTCGTTGCTACTTTCTTTTACATCTATTTGTGGTTTGTTTTTAAAAAGCATCGTAGATATCCTTTTATTGCAGGATTTTTCATCACTAGTAATTTTGCCAACCAAAGTAATTCACTGAGTGATAAAGTTATGTTTCTTATTTTAGTCGTCAGCCTTTGTTTTTTTTTCTGCAAAAAATCTGCACATTATTTAAATTTCTCTTGAAGGAGCAAGTGTATAAGTAATCGGGAACTAGCATTTTTTCCTGAATTAAATTTTTTAATAAATCTGTTTGAAATTGGCCTTGCTTTATTATAAATCCTCAACATCTGTAAGGCTTCTTCTCATTTGTTCTAGAGGTAAAGCACGCGCCTGAGGAACATAAGACCATTTGTTCCAGTCCGTCCTTACCTTGTTTTTCTTCAATATGCGTAGATGATTTTTATTGGAAAAATTTTATTGGAAACCTTTTATAGGAATTTTATTTTGTCTTCATATTTTTAATCTAATTTCCATGTTTCTTCTGATTTGAGCTGGTTTTTTAAATTACCTTTTTTCGTTTTTTTTTCTAGCTGAAATGGGTTTGGCTTCTGCTGCATAAATTTGTTTACGTCATTATGCGTTGTGAGAAGGGAAAAATGGGACATCTTGTTTTGTGTTTCAAGACGAGTCGCGCGTAAAATTTTGATTTTCAAAGTCTCAAAGCACAAAAAACGTCTTACATTTTGTTTATGGCTCAAGTGGCATGTACCTAGCTATCATCGGCTAAGCTACCTGTCTTAACATTAATTGAGACAACCATGCGAAATTTTTATAGATGTACTTTTTTCCACTATTTTGGAAAAAATTTCTTCGTCATGGTGACATCGATCGTATTTCTGTCTGCTGGGTTACGAGGCTATATTTAAGCTTTATTGTCAGTTTTGCGACGCTGCGCTTCGTCTCTCTCTCTCTCTGTCTCTCTCTCTCTCTCTCTCTCTACAACTACGAGAGCAAGTGTCTTGTAGTCGGGAACTATACTTTTCCCGTCAACAACTTTTTTTTTGAACATACTGGCTTTTCTTACTAGCTTTATTATTGAACCCGAGTTATTATTATTGCTTACTTAATGAACATTCTAGGTTCATTTCCACTTGCCCAAGAAATAATGCGGTTGCCTTTGTACCCTTAGGTTTGGTGTTTTTTTTTCAATATATGAATTGATTTAAAAAAAAATTTGGGAAAAATCGAATTGTCGGGTTTTCGTTTGTCTACTTATATTTTGTCGCCTTATTTGCAACATTGGTGGATTTTATTGTTCTGACAGCAGTTTTCTTTTTTAAAAGCTTTTTTCAATCTGATTGGTTTCGGCATATTTTTTATTGGCTTCTTTACCCTTTTTCGTGTTGCTTTAAAGGCAAAAATGTGTTTTTATGACAACCTATTCAAATAGCTTTTTTTCGGCTAAAGGAGCGTCTACCTAATTTTCTCCGCTTAGTGGCCGCTCGGTAAGTTTTAAAAGCTTATTTAAAATTGGTTGTTGTGATTTTTGAATGTTTCTTTGAAATTATTTTCATTTTTTCGGTCTCATTGTCTATGTGGTTTCGGTCTCAGTTCCTATTCGGTAACTTGCAAGGCTGCTTTTGCATCGTATCGCAGTTGATGCGAAGCTCAGCTTCGCTTTTTTTGGGCGTGCTTCTTGAAGTAACGATTTTCAACTTTAAAAGATTTTCAATTTTTTTTTCAGTTAATCAATTTTGATAAATCTATGGATGTTTTGTCATTCCGAAAACTTATTTGATCGGTGCATAAATTTTGAAAAACATAGTTTTTACACAAGCCAAGTGAAGTGTATTATTACGAAAAAGTTTTTTTTCCAACCTAAGTCGCAAATAAAAGTGCTCATTTGGTGGCACTTTTGGTTTATTTCAGTTTAATCATATTTAAGCTGCTTTTTTGGCTAGTATATGTCCTGTTTGAAAGAAGCAGGTATATTTAAAGTTTATGGGGTTTGTTGATTTTTTTTTGTTTTTTTTTTGCAAAGCTTTGGAAAATTTTTTTTTATCCAAAGGTGTCAATGGAGAAAACGGCTGCTCTTCTATGTGCCTGCATTTTTCACTAGGCTTTTTTCGTTTTACCTTCCGTTCTACGGCCTTTGAAATTTTCAGTAAAGGGATTTTTTAACTATTTGTTGTTAATTTTTTCAATTTCAGAAATATTAAATACAAATCTGAGATGAGGGTTTCAATCAACAGAACAAAATATGGAATCTTTTTTTTTCAAGCGGCTATTCCTTAGTTTGCGTAGAAACAAATTCTTACCTCAAACAAGCCCATTTTAATATTTTTATTGATATTTGGTTAATTTTTAAAACTTTTTTGACTTTTCTCAAAAACTACCCAGCCAAAGATTAAGGGTTTAACCGAAGCCAAAGATTAAGGGTTCAACCGAAAGAAAACAATCAGTGTTGCCAATGTTAATTGCGCAAGTGGCTATGCTCTGTATTTTGAAATAAAATATGGCCTTAGACATATTCTTTTTTTCGAAAACCAAGCTGCTGATTCTGAGGTTGATATTTCCTTCAAACTAACATGGTGCTTAGATTTTGCTTGCGCAATCTGCCTATTTATTTGAAGAAAAGTTGATATGGACTTCGGAAAAATCCATTTTTTGAAATTTTGTAGTTTTTTTTTTCACAAACAAAGCAGAAAAATCATTAGGGTTTTGCGTAAAGTCCATTTTTTGAAAGTTACGCATTTCCGTAACAGTACAATATTTGTTTACACTAGCCATCAGCTTACTGTATTATAACGACACGGGTTTTTTTCTAACCTAACTCGTAAATAAATGTCTTTAAAGGTGTTCACTTGTTTGGAAGTTTCCTTGTAGCATTAGAAATTGCATAGCATCTGTTTTCTTCGTTACTTTTTGCTTGTGTGTGGTGCTGCCTATTGAGCATCAGTGGCTGAGTGGTTAGTTTGTGAGCTTCTTCATCTCGAGGTCGTAGGTTCGAATCTCATTAAAAATATTAAAACAGGGGATCCAGCATTAGCTGGGCCACTAGCTTACTTCCAAACGACCATGGCGCAGATGCGAGGACGTAAGACTCCTAATCAACAGGTCGGAGATTCAAATCCGGTACATTGAAATAGTTTTTTTTGTCGATTTTTCGCTACGTAGCATTAGCAGTTTGATAAAAACTGTAGCTGCTTTATTGGTGGCTAGTGTTATTTAAATTACAAGCACCCGTCGAGCAGATGTGAGAAAGTTGTACTCCTAATTTCACTAAAATTTGTTTCTCAAGGGGTATATTAAACCTTTTCCTCGCTTCGTTTGCGAAGTGCAGCTTCGCGTCTGTGTTTACTTTGCCTGCAGCATCAGGATATTCGGTCTAGCTGAATCAATGTTAACACTCCACAGTCCTTTATCTGACCCTGTTTAATCTTGATTTTCTTGAAAGTTTTAGATGCCTTCAGTCTATAGCATTGAATTTGCAAGCGAAAAAATAATTCTTAGACTTTTTTCATTTTGCTAAATTGTAGAAATAATAAGACTCGTAAATAAAAAGAATTATTGAATGTGCTATCAGTTTTTTTTTTGCTCCCACGCCGAGAAATTACATTTTTTGTCGGAGCACAATTTTTCTACCCTTTTTTCCGCGAAAAGAAGCTTCGCTTTAGTGTTAGGTTTTTCGGGGCAATGAAAAGTTACCTATTGGTCAACATTTCTCAAATTGGGTTGGATTTATCAAAAGAGTTCCTAATATAACAGTTGGGATTCAAAGACTTAAATTGATTTAGTTTTGCTGTGAAACTTGAAAGATGTCTTTAGTTAATCATTCTTTTTCGGTTTCCGTAACTTCGTTGACATTTTTCCAATTTCTCCTTAGGAATAGTAGATATCGTATGAGTTTATTTCAATGCAATGTTTTAAGGATATTTTGTTTGCTGTTTTGAAACAAACGGTGAAAAAAGTTGGAACTGACAAACGTCATTGCGCGATACTTGATCAGAATGCTGAACATTTATTGCTCATTAAAGGTAACATTAATTGTACAGGGCTCGTTCACAAATTCAACGACAGCAAGGACCCTCCAGACTACATGCTGGAGACGAACAAGTTCATCGATCAGCCGGGGGAGAATTTGGCAGGAAGGGACTCTGCTGTAGTGGAGATTGGGTTCCGAGAAGTGGGCAGGGCAGCCGAGATCATCGAGAGACAGTATGACATCATCGAACATCTCAGTCGCACTTTACGGGACATTAGGGGTAAGAGGGGTATCCCACTATTATTACATAAATCCAATTGAAGCTCTAACATCATTCGGTACGGTTACGACACCCTTTTTTTTACTGTTTTTTTTATTAAGTCTCGGAGCTCAAATTTGACTTTTGGAGGTTATTCTTAGTTCAATTCAAAATCTTTTGCTAATGAGAAGGCAAATTACGCTCTTCATTTCAGGCAGTGGAGTTGCGCGAAAAACGATATTGATGTTTAGGTTCGTACGTGGATTTCCCAGTGGAATAAAAAAAATACCAATTGATCTAGTCTTTTATTTTCTAACAAGGGCTTGGTTTATGATCGTCAAAATTTCTTACAGAGCTTCATCGTGATACGTTTTTTCTGAAGTTTGGAAGTTTACAAAGCCAATCATTTGTTTTTTTTTTTGCTTACTTGAGTCCATAGACTTTTTCCAGCTGTTTGCTGTCTATCATCTAGATTTTTCCGTAAAACACTATGTTCACCGAATTAATCAGTTTAGTTTATTAGCATATCAAGTTACTCTTACAACTTATGCCCGCATTTCTTATAGAAATTGAAATTTTTGTTAGTTAAATTTTAGTAAGTCCGGTCAAACTACAAAAAAAGAGCATTTGAGTTCAGTACGCTTCGAATGAGAATTTCAAAAAGCTTCAGTTAAGGCATTTTTCACGTTTATTCAAAGGTTTTTTAAAGAATTTTGCTTTGTGTTCAGCAACCGTGTACTACTTAAGGTATCTTCCGCTTTTATTTGAACTTAATTTGGATATTTTTGTTTTGTTTTTAGCATTGGTGTACTACTGTTTTCCCGTTCAAAGTTTTTCTTCCGGTACTTGTTGTTTACTTAATGACGCTTGCGATTAGCAAACGTTATCAAACTAGAATATAGACTTTTTCCGGGTTAACACAAACTTGTTAAACAGAATCACTTGTATCTTGGTTCATTACACAAGCATAGCTTGTGTTATAGTATGAACTTTCATTTTTTTTCCAATCTAATTCGCAAATATTGTTGCGATGCAATTGTTGCGACAAAATGTTTTCATTTTTAAAGTGTTCATTTTGATCCAGCTATTAAGTACAGCCAATGCTAAGGATAATAACACAGGCTAGAAGGATAATAACACAGACTTTCACTTTAGCTTCAAGGTATCAGGGATCTGTACCGTAGAGGTAGGGAAGGAGACCAGCAACAAAATAAGAGGGTTCGCACCTGGGCAGGGTCGGTTGTTTTAATGAACTTTATCGTATACTAGTTAAAATGCATCCGCTCTTTTAATTGAGGCATTTTAGTTGGTTTTTTTTTCAAATTTACTGGTACTGCTATGCGTCATAATTGGCGTGCGTCCCTTGAGAAATTTTGTAGACTCAAAGTTCACGCATTCAGTTTTTCCCAGTAGTGTTTTCGGTAATTTTGCTTGTGTATGCGGAGTGCAACTTCGCCTCTGTGTATTAAATTCAACCTTCTATGCGTTCCCGATCAACTTAGCTTGGAGGCAACGAATATGTCCGGGACGGCAAAGGTCCTCGGTCGAATCTGACCAGGCCATGTTTTTTCAAACGGGAAATGTTCTGTTTTATATAAAATTGTCAGCCAATTATTTGTATGCTTATCTGTGTTCAGTTTAGCTGCCAAATCTTGAAATCGATTTTTTTTGATGCGCGCCTACTTTTGTGTTGGTTTTATTAGTTGATTTATTCTTACAGTTTGTAGTTTTACTTACCTTGACTTCGTAGTTTATTTGTTATTTTTGTTCCGTTAAAAAATTCCCCAGCCCAGCTTTTTTCGGTCTATTTTTTATCCGTTTAATTACCTAATTTTTGGTTTTTCAATGGAAACACAATTTTATTACTTACCTAGCCACTTTTAAAATTAATTTTTTGTTTTCTAATCGGTTTGTTGAATTATCTTTTTTTTTCGTTATGGAAAATTATTTCCCAATTTATTGGAAAAATTTTAGTTTTTTTCTCAGAAACTTCCATTAATTTTTAGAAAAGGGACACAATTGAAAGGCTCGCTACTCGCCTGTGTGCCTGGAGACTCCCATTGAGTCTGTTTTTACTTGACCCATCTGTCTACAGCCTTCGAAAAAGTCTGTCGGGGAATATATTTTTTTTTTTTTAAATTTTTTTTTGAAAACTACCCTTCACAAAACTGAGTTTTCTGTTTCAATGAATAGAAAGGTTTTGAAAAGCTCCCTGCAAAAGAGGCGACGCTCAGTTTTTTTTAGCACATAAATAATTGGCCTTCGGAATAGTCAATATTTTGATTTTTGACCGTTTTTTTTAAAATTTTTTGAATTTTTCGTGAACAACCCACCCAAATCTGCAATTTTCGGTTCAAACGAAATAACAGGTTACGTGAGTCCCTTATGCATAAGAGGCTACTCCCTATTTTTTCGCTGAAAAATCTATAGCTGTCGGAAATGTCAAATTTTGATTTTTTGATTGCTTTTTGGACTTTTTTCGTTAAGTATCCTGCCATATCTGATATCATACGTTTAATCGACACAACATGTTGTTGAAAGCCTACTGTTTTATTTGAATACCCAGTTTGTTAAAGAAAAATCTTTGGCCTTCAAACATGTTCAAGTTTTGAAAATTTGACAGTTTTTTTTTGAAACTTTTCGACTTTATTCGAAAACTACCGCGCCAATTTTCAGGTTGTGTTCAATCGAAAATACCGGTTTTGGGAATTTTCTTTGTTTGAGCGATCACAACATGCTTTTTGGTGAAGTCTTTTTGACCGTTGTTTAGAAACTTTGAATTTTTTGAAAGTTTACTCAATCAAATCTGAGATGAAAAGTTCAATTGAAAGAACTGGTTGCAATAATTGTTCCTGCAGAAGCGGTAACTCCTTAATCTTTTCTTTGAGAAATGTTATATCCTTGGGAAAAATGATTATCTCAAAATTTTTTCCTCTCTCACATATTTTAATAGAGAAAAAACTAAGGTTTTGGGCAAAGTACAATTTTAGAAATCACATTTTTCGTGCCGCATCAATGTAGCAGTTTCATTCAATATCAAACACGTAACTCCAGCTTTAACTGGGCCCTTAGTTTTTTTTTGCTGTCGAGACATTCGAAATTTTTGGTTCTAGTTTCTTTCAACATTTAAATTTTTTTGGCTTGTTTTTTTAATGTTTGTTGTATTGCTAGTGATTCTAAGCTCCGCATGGCCTGTGTTAGAATATCAGGAGCCAGTTAAAAGTTTAAATACAAAGAAGATACCTGAAAACACAAATTTCTAGTGTTCGGTTCCGGTCATTTGGTGTACGTGTTGCAAATTGATTAAATTTCGTGTAGAAGTTTCATATGTTTTACTATCTTTTGTCTGCTTTTTTTGACGGCCTAGATTCTCCATATCATAGACTTTTGTTCAGTTATTTTGATTTATTATGGTAAGGGCGAGGATGATTGAATTCTAAGAAGTTTTACCGAAATTTTTGTGAAAATTTAAGTTGGTTTATTTTTTTTGACAATTTAAGAATTATCATTTTTTTGTTGTTTCGATAATTGTTTCTTTTTTCACTTTGAAATTTTTGCTAGTTTTTTTTCCACTATACTCATAAGCAACAAAAAAATCAATGAATGGAGCCTTATCTTTGAAATTATCTCAAATGATTTTGATAACAACATTTTTGAAATACCTCTTCTATACAATTGATTCCATTGCCTGTGTTTTGAATTTGTTGTAAAATGACGTTTCATGATTTCACAATTTAGCATATTAGTTTGATCGTAGTTAGTTACAAAAAAAACTTGAACTTTGCCCTCTGTTGAACAATATTCTTAGGTGTTTATTTGGTTTGTTTATTGAGCAACATCCGGTTACAAGTAGCTTCGATGTTGTAGGCGACAACAATGGTCAATGGATGAATGGGACTAACAATGGGGATCTTATGGCTGATTTGAATGGATATGGTGACAGATCTGACTTTTCGGCGAGCGGGATCGATCCCTGAGATCCGAATCATGAGTTTCACGAGGGTTCAGCTAAGTTCAACCCGTTATTATTGAAGTTGTCTGAGGATAGAATAACCCTGATTTAAAGTCGAGGATTACTTAAACTGGCTGCTGCGTGTTGATGCGCCAAATATTTTTTACAATATTCTATTTCTTAGCTGCTTTTCTGTTTTTTTTTAATCATTTGAAAATTGAGGTGCTTTTTGAGTTATATAGTAAAAGCTGATCGGTATCAGGACCTTGTCAAATACTGTCGATATAATATGGATTTGATTCAGTAAACATTGGAATTTGATGTCTTGATAAGAGAATTAACATAAATGTAATAGTTATTTTGATGCGCATTTGACATCATCCAAAGAAGTTTTTATGCGTTTGATGCGGGATTTTAAAATTTTTACCATCTTGTTGCTGCAGATTGTACCTTTAAAAAGATCGTTTTGAGCGAGAGTGAAGCTTGTTATAAACATCTCTGTGACGAATTGTTACTTGACCGAATGCAAATTAAGATTCAAAAGAGCCAAATCTTCAAGAGCGAAGTTGAAATATCTCAAACATCACTGTGGTGAAAATCTTGTCTGTATGTCATTGATGCTATCAGTTTTCATGATGAACAAGCTCTGAACAGTTTATATTTTTTTCACGCTTTAAATCGCTTCTGATGGAAGATTTTTGAAAGTCAGAACACCGACCATGCCTTCATGACAGATTTTGGAATTACATGTTACGTTTGTTTTCAAAATGGGTCTCATTAAATTGATGACTCTTGGCTAGCTGTCGACTTTCTCTTCTGGGTTGGATATCACCTTTTTAATCGAAATTAAGGCGTTGCCATCAAATATTTAATTTCGAGTTTCAGTTATGATTAGAAATGAAATTTCTTCCCTCTTATTTTTGGAAAATATAGGTAATTCTGTTTTAATACTTCCATAGATTGTTTGCTTAGTATTTTTTCCTTCAAACATTGAAAAGAAATACTTCAAACTGCTTGAAAGTATTTCATTCATTGATTGTCCACAATTCGAATTGTTTCTTTTAGCAATGCGATTGATTGATTGTCTGACTTTGAGATCTATCAAATCTTAACTAAACGCTGTATTTCTATATTTCTTCGGTACAAATTACTGAAGAAATTTGTGACCGAATAACGGAATCTTTGACAATTTTGAGTGGCCCGTTTTCGGCGCTGAAATATATTAATTTTCAACCTATTATTGCTCAACTTTGCTTTTCTCTAAACATTGTCCTGTGTCGAAGTTTCCTCTTTCTAAAGGTGCTCCTGGAATTAAATTCAACTGTTTAATTTATCTCCTCTCCCTCACAAACGTGCTACAAAATACACAAGTATATCTTAGAAGTTGTTTTCATAGTTAGATCTTGTCCTAGACTGAATTGTAATTTAATTTTTTCATCTAACTTTTCTCCTCAAAATTTTTTCAGAGTAACCCGAGACGATTTAAGATTAACTGGAAAAAGTGACGTATCCTGCTTGATTGATTTCTTTGCCTGCTTGTTTTGAGTCGATTACAATTTGCTCAAAAATGATTAGTATGAACTGTCGTGTATGCTGTTCATCGGTAACCGAGTATTGAGGGTGATAGTATAAATAAGTATGTACATGACATGATCAGAAATCAACATACTGACAAATACAAGCTAAAATGCACCACAAACGATTAAAAACTCTATTTCCTTCAAAAACATCAAGAACTTTGATCAAAATAGCTCAATGAATTTTTAGACCTATGTTTTGACATGGAATTGTATCTGGTTGTTATTTTGACATAAACTTCTGTTAAAATACACGATTATTTAATCACCTGACAATCTATCGCTTCTCGCAATTTTTCTTCACGTTGTTTAGATCTTCTAACTTTGGTATGTTGATTACACATGCGCAACCGTGTACTAGACTTTTTTCCTTAAATAACTTTTTCACTGGACGCATTTCCTTGAAACCTCTGTTAGCAATAATTTTACTACAACAGTTATATTTTATGCATGTTACATTTCAAATATCTGTCTTATTCGAAATTTGCTTTTTTAAGAGTAATGAACGTAGTGAAGTCTCTTATAAAGGTCTTGCTAATTTTTTTTTTTCAGGAAAAGTCTTAAAGTATTGGTGCACTTAGGTATAAATGCACTTTTTGAGTTCAATTGAAATTCATCAATTGTAAATAGGACTCTCCAAATACGAACGTGCAAATGGCGAATTTTGTTTTTAGATTTCCAGCGGCATAAAAACTTTACCTGTTGATCCAGTTTTCTCAAGTTGGGTTAATGTTATCAAAAAAGAGCAGATCATAAATCGTTCTTTAATTTTATAGAGCTTAAAGGACATCTATTTTTTCGAAAGTTGAGATTTTTTCAACTAAGTATTTTTTATGTTTACTTGCGTTCTTTAATCTTTTCCAATCTTCGATTGGCTATGTTTATGTTAGTGGTGATTTTACCAACTCGATTTGTGAAAAAAAAAAAAAAATTTTGTTTTGAAATTTTTTCGGCTTAATAGGTTTCGGCCTATATTGTTTTCCCAATTGTTTTGTATGGCAAGTGGTGCAAAGCTCGGCTTCACCTTTGTAGTGAATATCCAACTTAAAACGTATTATGCCTGCTTAATCAGTCTGTACAGCCATTGCTGTCACTTAAAATTGACATTTGAGTGATCGATTATTTACGTATCAAGGTTTTGCCTTGTCGTAGCGAAAATTAAACGCAAGCTAAGTCTAGTGTTGCATGGTACATCGCAAATTTCTAACTTCAGATGAACTGCTTGCCGGTATAGTTGCTAAACAACGACAACTAAGTTAACGTTGAAAGCCTCTTAGTCAAATTAAGAAGCATCTGCGTTTTTATAAAGTTTTGCTCTTCAGCTGGTTATTGAATTAGGGTATAGCTTGTCAGCCTATTTGCATCTAAACTAAATTCAAAGAAAGTTCGGGAAAAACTATTGAATTGTGAAGTCTGGTAATCGACTAGCCGGGCTGGTGAAGGCTGAGCTTGTGTTATTCTGCGAAATAAATTTTTCTACTACAACTGTATAACAAAAACTTAGACTATAGCTGCGGAATTTGCATTCTTGCTTCCTTTTTTATCATAAAGAGTATTCAAGAAATGATAGTATGGCAACCTGAAGAAATAACGGCTGAATTTGGAAACCTAATGCCGCTGTTTGATTCGCAGTCGAACTATTTTTATTTTGAAGTTGATACGATCAAATAATGCTGATTCATCGATTCAAGTCACTTTTCCGATCACGAAGTGGGAAGGAACTGTATATTCGGGCTTGTTTTATTTTTCTTACTTTTTTCATGCAAAATTAGGTACCACAAAAACATATGAAGCGAGTCATATAACATATTCCACTCCTTTCAGTCGTGAATCGATTGGTTGAAAAAAGGGTTCGCTAGAAAAAAAATCTGCTTTTTAGTCCAATTTAAGAGGAATGAGGCGTACGAGTTCCAGAAATAACTACACTAAGCTTTTTTTGCTGTTAAAGAAAGGAGTGTAAGCTGTAAAAAATTCTTTAACCGGAAGTTTACGCTTCCCCGTCATTAACAATATCAAGCGTGTTGTAACGAGGTACTAGAATTTTTCCCGCATAGAATTTTTTTCACATATTTTACCATGTAATTTCGAATGCATGCAGTACGTGCGTTGTTTTTGCTCAACGATCTCTTTATCCCACTGTACATCCATTAAAAGTGTTTTTCCAATATATTTGCGGTAACAAGTGAATATTTTTTAATTTTTCGAATTCGTGACTATCTACATCGCTTATTTCAACGTTAATAATTAAGCGTTGAACGCTAAGTATTTTGTCAAAAAATTTTATCAAACAAAGTAGTTTTTTATTAAACCATTTTTCGACTAAAACTGTCGGCAATAATGCTCACCTGTTTTTTCAAGATTATAATTCCAGTTAACTTAAATGAATTGAAAGCATTTCATTAGAAAAATGTCGGCAGGATCTACTTAACAATCTCCACCCCTTTCAAAAAGGGGGGGAATTGTTAAGTAGATCAAAATGGTCGATTTTTCGACCAATCAGAATGCAGCAAAATTAGAATTCTCAATAGAAAGTTTGGTGCTAATTTACTGTATTTATTTATAGGGGTGGAGATTCTTAAGTTGATACCATAGGGGAGATCCTGTCAGCATTTAGCTTGCGTATTCTGAATAATGTATTACAAAATGTTTTTCTTAAGTTTTTCAAAAATAATTGAGAGCACAGCAACCGCTCATTCTTATTGTTCCGACCATATAAAACATGTGGCGGAAATTTGTATTCGGATGTGTTTTAGGTTTTATTTTTGTTTTCCACGCAAAATAAGGTACACAAATAATCATCGGTTTCACAGCTTTAGTTCAAGTTTTGAAGATAATCAGAGAAATAATTTTTTTCCCAACTTTTGAAGAAGTGACCTGATTTCTTCACAAGTGACCACTTTTCACCAAATTTCTCTGAACGACCACAAAGAAATGCATTTCCTGAAGCTTAAAGTTTAAAAAATTTCAGCTTTTTGAGAAGTAATTTGGAATTCAGATAATTTGGAATATTTAATGCTCTCTAAATTTCAGCTTCTGTAGGTATAGGCGGAGAATTAATCCATCTCAGAAACTATTTTAAACTGATCAAAGCCAGCTATTGGCTTAAATACTGTTCCATATATTTATAGCAAAAAAAACTTGCGAAGTATTAAAAAATTGTTGTTGAGAGTTGTATTAATTTAGTGAACAATTTTTAAGTCACAAGTAATGATTTTTCGATAATTGACCAATTTTACAAATGCGTCTGAAATCACGGTTCAGATAGGCAAAATCACTGCTCGTTTTCGGAATAGAAGATCTTTTTGTTCATTGAATGGAGAGGAGTCCCCGAGCTTTGATCAGTTCTGACGAAAATCATGTCATAAACAGAGCTATATAATTCTCCTGAAGATTAAAATCGACAAGATGCTCAAATAGTTTAATGCAGAATGCAACAATTTTTTTGCATTCATTTTTTTTTTGAAATTTGGAGCTCCTAAAAAGGGTATATTTCCTTTAACTTGAGTAATCAATTTGATGGTGCTCAAATTTTGTGAGGGTTCCTACAAACAGACGGACAAAAGTTTGACATGGTTACTAGCATAAGATGAGTTTGGGGTACGAGAACTCGATTTGTCTCGCAGGTAGGTGCTCCTGACAACTAAGAGTTGCCTTAGCCAATCAGATTTTGAATGGAATAAGAGTCAAATCGAATACAGCAATATATAGTTAGATTATTCATCAAGGTGTTCGTTCAAGCAGTTGTGAACACATTGTACTCTGAACTTCACATGTAAAAGCTCGTCTCTTAACTTCAAGAGGGAGTAAAGACGATATATGAGCAGCTCTTTAATGTGTCCAAGATGCGCTTTAAAAATTGACGAAATTACAATTACCATATTAATGTGCTCATATGAAGACTGATAACGCAACAAAGCGCATAAAACTAAAGTAACTTGTTGTTATAAGTCCTTTTTGATTAAAACTAATAAGTTCGTCAGAATTTCTTTGATCGAAAACGACCATTCAGGTAAGCGAATTGTTGCTTGGTTTTAATCCGTTTCCTGGTCAGGGCGATGCTTTTTTCGACCGATTGGAATTCTTCGAGGAAAATTTCTGCGGCAAGCTATTAAAGGTTTCGCTAGCTACCAACAAATATTTGTACCTAAAGCCTTCAAGTATTTCCAACAACTTAGTATTTAAACTAAGAGCGAATATCGTATATTGTAAGAACCAACAATTTAAAGGATTTTTTCTAAAGCTCCTGCAGGCGTTTCACTATTGACTTAGGCAAATTTTTTGCTATTTGGAACTGAAAATGTTGACATCTCAATGCAGCCTTGATACAGTATCCAATTTAATTTTCAAAAATTAAAATTCTCAACCCTGTAGTTGGGGGTTCTCAGAGTATTCTTAGGGGTTGCGAACCTTGCCTGCAAATATGACTGCTCAAATCTTTGTAGTTTTCAGATACGAAGTCTTTGGTGATTTTTTCAAAAAATTTTCAGATTATTTAAATTTGAAATTTTTGTTCAAAGTTTGAAATTCCTAACCCTGTAGTTGGGGGGCTGTCATAGTACTCTCAGAAGTTGCGAATCTTACCTCCCAGTTGAACTGTTCAAATCTTCGTACTTTTCGCGATATGACGTTTTTTATGGTTTTTCAAAAAAAAAAAAGATTGAGAAAACTTAAATTTGAAGTTTCTCAAAATTTGAAATTTCCAACGCTGTAGTTGGATATTGTGAGGTTACTCTCAAGAGCTGCAAATAGCTCTCAAGAGTGGATATTGTGAGGTTACTCTTAAGAGCTGCAAATTACTCTCAAGAGCTGCAAATAGCAGTCTCTCAAGACTGCTCAATAGCTTTCAGTTTCTGAGATGTGACATTTTCTTAGGTTTTTCAATTTTATGGTTTTTTAAAATTTGAAAGAAAAGCTTGATAATAAAACATTACAAAAATTGAAATTACCGACCCTGTAATTGCGTGCTGCCGGAGTACATTCAAATAACTCAGATCTTATTTCCAATATTTTCGTTTTTTTTATGATTTGTCAAAAATAAGAAGCACCGGAGGTGCGCTACACGCTAGTAAATATGAATGCACAGAATAAGCATGGCCGTATCAACTTAAGTTGCAGCATTTTTGATAATAAGATTTTCCTGCACCAATTTTGGTAAGAATGAATTCAAAAATGGGCATTTTGCCCCATTAATCGCAAATAAAGTGTTCATTAAAAATGTTGATTTTTGTAATCACGATCTGTAGAATTGGAAATTTCATAGCATCTGTTCGCTGCTTTTTTGTGGCTACTGTTTGTGAGCAGCTAAGCGTCAGTGGCTGAGTGGTCAAACCGTTGCAAATTTATACTTTAAACCGTTCTGATGGTTGTTCATAGTAACTATTGTTGATAGTTACTATTATTCAATGTAAAAAAAATTAATACGATACTTCAAACTGTTGTAATATTATACTTTAACCGTTGTAAAATTATACATCAAACCGTTGTAATATTATACTTAACTCCAGTATTTTTCGTGACTGAAAGAATTTTTTGAAATTTTTTGTCATTCGAATCACGACCGAACGAGAAAAAGCACTCAAAGTTTAGTTTCATTCCAGTCTTCTTCGTGACTGAACGAATTTTTTTAAATTTTTTTAATGTCATTCGAATCATGACCCAAAGAGCTGTAATATGATATTTCAGAACGTTGTAATATTATACTTTAAACCGTTCTGATGGTTGTTCATAGTTACTATTGTTAATATGATCCTTCAAACCGTTTTGATGGTTATTTATAGTAACTATTGTTGATAGTTACTACTTTTCAAACCGTTCTGATGGTTGTTCATAGTTACTATTGATATTTGTGATGGTTGTTCATAGTAACTATTGTTAGTAGTTACTTTTGTTCATTGTAACTATTGCTAATATGATACTTCAAATCGTTGTAATATGATACTTCAAACCGTTGTAAGATTATACTTGATTACAGTCTTCTCCGTGACTAAAAGAAGTTTTTGAAAAAGATTTTTTATATTATTCGAATCACGACCGAAAGAGACTAAGCACTAAAAGTTTCATTTCAGTCTTCATCGTGACTGAAAGAGTTTTTGCAATTTTTTATATCATTCGAATCACGACCAAAAGAACTCTAATATGATGCTTCAAACCGTTGTAATTTTTTACTCTAAACTGTTCTGATGGTGGTTGTTCATAGTGACTATTGTTGATAGTACTATTGTTCAAACCGCTCTGATGGTTGTTCATAGTAACTATTGTTGATAGTTACTATTGTTCATTTTGTTCATGCTAATTTGAATCGAAAGAATTATACTACTAAAAACCTATTAGAGGCTTGTTCGCTGGCTTTATTTGCTTGAAACAGACTAAAAATCCAAATTTTCAAACAAATTTTTCGCGACAGTAAGGTTTCTTGGGAAACTTTCAAACAGCGATTGAATCACAACTGAAAGTATTTCAAAATAATATATCGCTCAGTTCATTCCGATGGTTATTTGTGGTTCCTGATTTTGCGTTAAAAGAGAAGCTAAAAAAAGCTAAAACAACTAAGCTAAAAAACAAAATTCTTCCCATTTTCATTGGTTGGAACAAAAAATTTCTGTCACTGCGGAGATGGAACACGAGATAGTGTAAGTATCATTTTGGGTAACGCTTAGACTGTATCAGATTGAGTTGTGACAGATCCTGAACCTTCTTGCATTGAAAGTTTGTATAATAATCGCAAAAGCTTGGTATCTTTTGTGGGACCAACTACCGTAGCCTTAAACCCTAGCTGAAATGCAAATTGTATTTTTCTATTGAGCTGTTCTATTCCATGCTTTTTATGGTAAGTTTCAGCTCAGTGCAATTAGCTTTTCTATTTCAACTGTGCTTCTTCTGTTTCAGCTGCTTGGTTTCCCTTTCTGCTGCAACTTCGGATTCTTTCCCAAAAGTAACCGCTTCTCATTATTTCGAAATTCTATCAACCTGTTTGCACTTCAAGGCACCATTCAGTTGCGATTAAAATTTCAAGATGCCTTCATCGAAGGAGGAATGGATCAATGCGCTGACCAGTTTTAACGAGGCTAAATTGGTCAAAAGACACCAAGCCCAACTCAGGCTGGTATCAAGCCCGGAAGGCTACTCTGAACTGTTTTCAGTGGCTGGTATGAAGTCCGGATTCCCGGCTAAACCACAGGCCCAGGAACGTCCGACAGTCGATGAGTTTAAAGAAGTCCAAAGATCCAATTTTAGTGGACCTGAATTATCTGGGTTCCGAGTCGAGGGTTTGAGAAAAACAGAACTGAACAAATTTAACGAAAGAATGCAGTCCTTGAAACAAGCAACACGTGTTGACGCCTACAGAAACAAAATTGAACAGAAGGTTTATGGTAAAGACAGAATTTTGAGTTTAAACCCAGAAGACACGGTCAAAAATGCGGAAAATAATTTTTCGTATGAAGATGTTAAAGAGGTAGAAATTTATAAATCTCAAAGTGACCGAAATTCTTTCAACCCGAAACCTTTTCTACCTGTTAAACTAGTTCCGAAACAAATCGCCTATAGCTCAGTGGATGCTTTTGAAAATTGTTCCCAAACAAGTGGTGAAATATTAGCTGAAAAGTCAAAAAGTCAATTGAAATCACCAAAAAACTCTTTGAAAATACCTAAGGCGAGAATCGGCAGTGGGAACAGCGAATGTCCGATTCTGATCAAAAGAGGTCCAAATGGTCACATAAAAGTTCAAGTAGACTTCGTGAAATTAGATAAAGCGAGAATCGAAGGCTTCGACTCGAGAAAGTTAGATTTGCCACAGCCCATTTTTTCTAAGACAAAAGCAAGAAGTGGCACTGATAGCGAGCTCAAAGATTTATGCAGTTTCCCAGCCTTTAAACCAGAGAAGTCTTTGATTCCTGAAAATCCAGAAATTGTTGAGAGCGTTAATGCCAGATCTGATGGTTTTCCTGAAGATAACATGGAACAGCAGCTTACAAGTTCCAGAGGCTCGCTGCGTGATGAAAAACGGGCCAAAGAAGTCAAGCGGAAAAACTATCTGACCGAAAGAGCAAAAAGCAGACAAGGACGCGCTAGAGAAATTTCAAAAGATTCTCTCGAAGTTCTCGCAGAATTTAAACTAGATCGAAAAGCACCGGTGGCTACTGGTTTTGGAAAGTTATGTACATCTAATGAAAATGGTGGCTCAGAATCGAAACCAGCGGATTCATTAGGCACTTCCGAAGAAACAAAAACAGGCGAAGAACTACAGTCATTTCAACGTGATCTATCTTTTGATTTCCAAGATACTGATGCCACTCTACCTAGTTTTTGCCATACAAACAAGGATCGATTTTTCAAAGGTTACCAAATGAATGAAGCTGAAAATTATGAAAAGAAAAATTTTGTTGATCATAATTTATATGCGCGTCAAAAGTTAGATGCAGATGAAAGAAATCTGGTATCCAAAGCGAACATTGAACAAGAAGTAAACATAAGTTCTACAGAACATACATCTCTTTTTGGTCATAGAGAGCTTATAACAGATAATGAAGAAGATTTAAATAATACACTTATGAACAATAGTTCATATGCATCATCTTATGTAAAAGAAAAGCAAACCGAAACGAATGAAAACGAAGAAAATGGACAACGAAGTCGCGGTACACAAGTCAAAAACAGCGTCAAAAAATCAAAGAGTTCTTTAAATTCAGTTCCGTTGATGAAAAGTTTCAGTCGGAGAGAGTTCAGCAAATCACCCTCAAAACCTATGCGCAAAGATGAAGAGAAAAAGACGGTGGTGCATGTCTTTGGAACCTACGTTACCCCCAACATTGCCGCGACTCTGAGGTACCCGCCTATTAACAAAAAGTCATTGCCCGATATATTCACTCCCAGAAACGGATCGCCCAGTAAAGCTGACGCTTCAAAGAAATCAAAAACCCCAGAACAGTTATCAGACAACAAATTTGCCCCAGCGAGTAGACGCAATTATGAAATCCAAAAAACGAAGCCTGTTGGCGTGCTGAAAGAGTCGGAAGAAGCTAAAACTAAGCCAGTCTTATCAGCCTCAACCTCGTCGAAGTTTTCTCGTTCCAAAAATTTGGATTCTACTAATTCGCCCGAATCTGTCCATTTGAGGTATTTTGTTAAAGAAGAAAGACAGCCTGCAAGAATCTATTCAAAATTAGTTTCGAAGAAAAACTCGTCAGGTAAAATCATTTTTTATGTCCTCAGTAATTTTGCCTGCCTATTGAAACTGCCAAAATAATAAAGGAGTTTTGTCATTGTAAAACATTAAAACATCTTTTACATTTCAAACTTCATTTTTAGTACGTGTTAACATTTCCAATAAGTTCGCGCGTTTCGTTAAAATTTGTGCGTTGAAAGTTTCGAGATAAGCTAACTAAAGTGCATATTGTTTCGTTCTCTATGCACAACGCATGCACCGCTTGTTAATCAGGATTGTTCAAAATCGTTCCAAGCTTACGTTGGCTCAATATTTCAGTCTATTTTTAACTAGGTTCAAATTTTAATGATCAGAATTTAAAACTCCTTGACAATCAACAACTTTCCCGAGGTAATTAGGTTTTGGCGGAAAAATTGCTTGCGTTTTTTTAGTTTTGATTTTAGAACTTTCCTATTGAAAAAGTACTTGAATAAACAAACATTAAGCAAATCGATTCGAGCTATGAAATCACTTGGAATATTTTGAAGTTTCATAGCTACAATAGCTTGCATAAAAAAAAAACGTTTTTTTTGCTAACTGATTCAGTGTATGAAAAAATCCTCATTATTTCAAAGTTTGGAAGCCTCAATAGGTTGCTGGGAAAAACTTGAACTTTTCTTGAACTTTCATTTTTTTTCGACTAAACACTGGTTTCGGTCTGAACAACAATTTGAAATAATTCAAATTTCCATAGCTTCAATAATTTTCTTAAGTGAAACTCGACTTTTTCGTGAACTGATTCACTCTAAGAAAAATTGTTTCAAGTATTTCTGTGTTACTATAAAATGTTTAAAATTTGCATGTGAATGGCTTTTATAGAAAAGCTTCAAATTTTTCGCTATCATATTTGCTTCGTTTCAAAGTTTTATAGGTTGAACATCTTCCTTAGAAAAATTTTTGTTTTACTGAGCCGATTTAGTTTGAAAATAATAAATACTTCAAAAATTTCGTAGCTTGAATTAATAGCTCAGAAAAACATGAAATTTTGGAAAAATCATTTGGTCGATGGAATAAATTGAAATATTTCAAAGTTTCACCGATTGAATGGCTGCAATGAAAATTTATAATTTTCTTGGTTTGGGTAGCTTGCCTAAAATATACTGAGTTTGCGCGGACTGATTCGCTCTAAGAATTAAATTGAAACTTTTCAAATAATTGCTCAATAGCTGGCAACACATTCGGTTTCAAAGTTTTATAGCTGGAATAACTTGCTTTAAAAAAGTTTTTTTTTTGTCATCTTATTCGGTCTAAGAATCAACTTGCACTATTTCAAGGTTTCATTGCTTGACTTTTTTCAACAGAAAAACTTAAAATTATCGCCATTCGATTTGCTTCATAATATTACTTGAAATATGTTAAGTTTTGATAGCTTCATTAGCTTGCTTAGAGAAACTCAATTTTTTCGCGAAATGATTTGCTCTTGAAGAAATATTTCATAGTTTCATAGCTTGAATAGAGGTCTCAAGAAATTTGTGTTTCTTCGCAGACCGATGACCGATTTGCTCTAACAAATAACTCAATTAGCTCAATCAATTTTTCAAAGAGTCCTTGCTTGAATGGCTTCAACAGAAAAACGTATACTTTTTGGCATCCGAATCGCTTCATGAGTTACATTTGAAACATTTCAATTTTTTTCAGCTGGAACACCTCGCTTATGGTTTATTTTGAATAGCTTGATCAGAGTAACGACTAATTTTTTGCGAGCCGATTGATTATTGGAGACGGGCTTGCTAGTTATGATTATCGGATTTTTCTTTCTTTCACTGCACTGATAAACGAATTTGTTGATGGAAGTGGAGTTCATAAAAAATTTGTTTGTCCTTTTAGGTTAACCACTTCGGTTTTTCAAGTTGTGTGGCAAATCTGTCTTTGATTCGGAGAGAAATGGCCTTGTTGAGCTTTTTTTGAAAATTTAAACCGTGATTGTAAAATAAGCGTGATTATTGTGCGCGCGCTGCTCCCTCAAAACTTGTCAATTGGTACCAAAGGTTTCTTTAAAAAATTTTTTTTATCACTTGGCCAAAAACGAATGCAGTGAAAAAGTACGTAAAAAAAGAGAAATTTAAGCATCTCAAGAGGGTGAATCACAAATCATTTTGATTGTTTTCTAATGACCGAAAATGTTTTCTTTTTGATTTCATCTATTGAATATGAGTCACGTCTGATATGATACGTCACTTGACCCAATTCGAAGTTTTTTGGAGTGCTCATTTTTGTATATAATAGAATTAAATTTGAACTTATTTCCTTAGGAACTTGGAAAAATGTTCATTTTGTTGCGAATTGTAGAATATTTTTTGGCCTTCATTTTTCAAATCATGTTTTTGATTTACAGAGAGCGAAGATTCAATTGCACCGACAAGCGATGAATTCTGGAGTAAATATAAAACCAGATCTTCAGTTGATGAAGTCTCAGTGCTGATTTTGCAGTCTCATGACGAGTTTAATGAAAATGCAGTTAACTCAAGCGAAACGAATGAAATCGAAAAAATGAAAAAAAATTCGAACACAACTGATGATTTTCAAAGGAAAACAGGTCATAGCTCGAGAGAGAATGATCTCCCTGAGAAAGAAACACAGAATTTTAATGAAAAACTAATTACGAGAAATTATTCTGATTCGAAAAATAAAGAAAACGCAGTGCCAAAAGGAAAAGCTGGCAATAGTGATGCAACGAATAAGCAAAATAGCCAGAAAAGTGATAGCAAAATTTTATCCAAAAGACAAAACCTTGAAGTGAAAACGCCAGTTGTGGCAACAAAGGCTAAAACGCAGGACCACAACTACAAAACAGCTGAAAAAACAGGAAATCTAAAAAGCAACGAAAATAGTTCGAACGTCAAACAGTCGTTTGAACAATTTGAATCTAGGAGAGAAAGCAGCGTGATCAGATTGCATTCAAGGAAAGATGAAACAGTTGACTTGGAAGACATTGAAAATGACTCAAGTGATGGAGAATGTTTTACTGAAACAGTACTTCGAGAAAAACCGAAACAATACCAACCTAATCAGTTGAAAAAAATTGAGCATTTTGCGCCGAAATCAGTGCAACCGAAACCTTCGCATGACGAATGTAAATTTACAAAGCAGCCAGTAGCTGTTTTGAATCATCAGTATTTTTCGAATAAAAGCAAGGAACAACTAAAGGCTAAACCTGATAAGAACCAAAGTTTGAAAGACAAAAATGGGGCGCCTAGAAAAGTCTCTCTAGGCCGAAGTGAAGGCTCATCTTCAATAAACAAACCTAAAAAGATTTCCGATGAAGGAATAACGCCAAAGAACGATGAAGCAATCGGTGATAACAAACTTCCGCAACTGACTGAAAAGAAAGCTCAAAAAGAGACAGAAAATGAAATAAGAGTGGAAAGGACCAATCAAATGTCTCAAAAATTACAGTCTTCATCAGAAAACCATAGCCGTGAATTGGGTTCGTTTTCGCTAAAGTCGTGCGCACGTGCTATTGACGACGAAAAATCACGCCCCAAGATTTTGACGAAAGACAAACCCAAGGTTGATTCGAGTGTAAATGATGATTTATCTGATATTGAAAACGCCTCAGAAAGTTCCGATAAAGTCTATTTGAAAAAAGCGGAAATGAGCGCTTCGATGGAAACAGATAACGGAGGTTTGAATCGAAAAGGCGAAGCATCTCGACCAGTTTCAGGTCAAAAAAGAAAAAAGTCTGAATTAAATGAGAATATAGAAAAAAGCAAACGAGTTAGATCACTTGTTCATGATCCCAATCAAAAACCATGGCGCCATGCTATGGCTCCTATACGAACAAGCTCATCCGAAAACTTGCGCGACGAGAATATGCGACGAGAGAACGAGAAAGTCGGAGTAAAACAATTGTCGAAAACTTTAAAAAGGAGCAAAAGTGAAGTCATATCAGAAAAACGCGAAAACAGTGAATTTAATCAGCTAGATGAAGAAAATAGCGTGGACGATACTCAAAGTGAATTAGACACTTCTCAATTAAGCGAGGAAAAGAAAAAGGGCCAGTGGTCTACAATTTTCAAGTTCATATTCCAACGCAAATCTGACAAGAGAGCCGATGGCGAATTCAATGGACAAATGGGATTTAGCAATAGGGGAGAAATGGAGAAAATTGATGAGGAAAATGTGGAAGAAAGAGCCCACGATCAAGAGGAAGCTTCAATAGATCAGAAACCAGAAGAATCTTCCGTCTCTTCTAATAAACAGCAAATACCCGAAACCAAGACCAAAACAACAAATGTGAAACCCAACAAAGATCCCTCGGACAAGTAAGTAACTTCTGTATGGTTTATGGCCACTGTCCGTAATTATTATAATTATAATCATAACAGCCTCGTATTTGATTAACTTGGACAGTTAGGGCTTCTAGTCCAGCTGTATTTTGTAACCGACTTTGTAACGAAGTTTCATTGGGTTCGTCGAAACTGTTTTTGGATAATTCATGTTATAGGCCTATTGGAAAACACATTTTTCTTGATTTTCCCGGGTTGATCGCCATAGACTGAAATTGCTAAAGTACTGTTCCATAAACTAAGTCTGTGAAAAATGCTTTTCATACAATTTTCATACATTTTTGCTAAAATGCCATAAACGAATACAAAAAGAGCGTTTTTCCTGTTTTGGCATAAAAGTCGATGTATTGTCATAATAAAGAGAAAAATATATTTTTAAAAATTATAAACATACATTTTTTATAAATGGACATTGTATGACTAATAATTTTTTGATGGCGACACCAAACTTTTTATCAAGTAGTTTCGAATTTGCATGCAAACATATTCGAAAAAAATATTGCATGCAAAGTTTAACTTTTGTGTGCATAACGTAGTCCAGGATACACAAAAATTAGTTTGCTGCTCGAAATAAAACTGGAAGAATTCAATGCTGTTATTCGTTTATTCTATGCATAATCGAACAATTTTCGATAATTCGGGCCTTTATTTCTGATTTACAGATTTTAAGCAGTACTCATTCTTATTTCGACCGTGTGAAAGCGCTCACTTTTATGCAAAACACGGTTTTTGCAGAATTGAATTGTAAATCAAGGTCAGTCGAGGGCGTTTTATGAAATAAATTAAAAAGCTAAACAAAACAAAGGTTTGGCAGTTCAAACCTGGTTATCACTGCGAACTTGACGATGTTCTGCGTTTTCGAGCAAACGACATAGGAGCCTGGGCGAGGCTCGAACCGAAGCCAATAGAGCTACTCACAATTTGGGCGGTTAGCTTAGATCGCTCAACCAACCTTTCTTATTTTACTGTCTTTAAAATTTTTCTTCGTTGTTCGTATTCACTATTTGTTCAGCAACATCCTCATAACTCGACGAGGCGAGAAATGGAGCCAGCTTAATGATTGGACTAACCAATTGGCCCGATACGGTCTAAATAGTTGCGGAGCACGCGACGCTATCTTTTCCGTAATTCAATTTCGCAGTTACTCGACCTGAACGGTAGAGCCCACGAGAGCTGCGGGATTGACGATCCAAGCGTGACTGCTAGTTTGTAAATCACAGTTCGAATTGGCGCGCCACTGGGAGCGCTTTTTCGTGGAAGGGACATGCGTCTTCAGCCAACGCTGGCAAGTATCACTTGCATAGGCTTGTGCTCTCACATATTGTTTTTGGTGGTCAAAGCTTTCATCAAATGTTAGCGACGGAAGGCTAAAAGAGTGCTCGCTTAAGAGGAAATGGTTAGGCGTTATTGCTTTCGTTTCAGTCAAATAGGTGTGGTTAGTTAGATGGGCATCAGCAAGTGTTATTGGACGGGCATTTAACGGTTGCACTTCGTTTACTTGCGAGTATCGATGACTGAGTAGAAGACACGTTTACACTTGCGATCGAACCTTTCCCAAGAGCCGCCATGATGCAGCGCGCCAGAAGAGTTGTGCTTACATGTAATCACTTTATGCTCTAAAAAGAAGGGAGCTTGTATGTTCCACCTTTTTACGCAAAGCAAAAGTTCTTTCTCAGGTCCAACAAATTTTCGATGTCTACGGCACGGGTAGCCATACAGGTGAACAGAAAAGCCCTTTTCTCACACTAGGTATTCCGCTGCAATTTTTCAATTCAATGTTGTTCCTATTTACTATTTGCTCAGCAACAGTTGGGTTATTTTTCTTTCTCTCTAGATAACTTGTTTCAATAATGAGGAAAAAGTCTATTTCTTAAGTATTGCAACTTCAAAAGTTCTAATTCAATAAATGGCATCTTTCAAAAGCCTGCTTTCTGAAGTTTTTTCTACTTTAAATAAAATCTTCTTGAAATGCACTGTACATGCAATGCCTTGTACTTGCAAGAATGTTAAAGTATTGGTGACTCGAGCTCTCAGTAACCATGGTTCTTTGTCACTTGTGTTTGGTTACAAGCACAACCCAGAAATTTTGATGCAATTTTTTAATCTCAGTGAGTTGCATGAAAATACATGGGTAGCTTTTTTTCTACATGTGAAAATTGTATGATTAGCTTTTTTGGTCAACCCTGGCGTTTTTTTGGGTTTATTGAGACTGTTTTTTTCTTGAATTTGCTGTTCCCAAGTTGGTTTAATCTTGGATTTATATCCGTTCCGTAACAAAGCTATTTTTTAATGCGATTATAGTATTACTCTTGCGATGGTAGTATTACTCAGTCTTCCAATTTTTCCAACTCTTGTCGCTTATTTTTGTGCAAAGTTTTACTATTGGTTGGTTACGCGGCAAATTATCTAGCTATATGTTGTTTAAGCCACATAACAGCAATTTTTTGAAAACAGCAGTAGCTGGTTGCTGTGCAACTAGCACAGAGTGTTGCGACCACAATTATCTTGGCAAAAACAAAAGCTCGTCGATTTTTTTCAAATAACAGATAAGCCCACTGTTATCAGTACTCTGTTGAAGCATTTAAACTAACCCACTCATTCGGATAAATGAACTAAACCGTTGTACATCGTAAATGTTTAAATAAAGAACCCTTTTATCGTTTTCTCCGGTAAGTCTTAAGTCTAAAAAAGCTAGAGTTTCATACCAGTTTTTCTCGCCTTTGAGAGAACCAAAGAAACAGCTTAATTTAAATCCAAATTACGACTGAAAGGGGTTGAATATGATACCTCTCTTGGTCTCTTCTAGTAAATTTTTTGCGGTGCCTAAATTTTAAGGAAACGAACCCGCTCCCGTGTAATAGTTCTTTCCCACTCTTCGAGAGTGGTCAGAACAAAAGTTTTCTCCATTAAAGTTTTAAGTTTCTGATGCAGCAAAAAAAAACAACCTGGAATTAAATTATTTGGAATTTTTGAATTCACAATTGAGAGAGTTATTGTTCCAACGATCACCATAATGGAGTGGGTGGGAGGGAATTATAGATTAGCCTGTTGTTTTTAGACCGATTTTCACCACCTCAAAGAATTCTCGTATCTTGTCCAGTGGATTATCTTATTACAGTGCTTTCGATTGTATTTCAGATATTAAAAAAATGAAAAGAGTGGTTTAGTTTCGAGAACATCGCGTCTGATTTTTTCCGTTTATCAGTCTATTATTTTCAGACTAAGTTTCCAAACTAGTTGTTAATTTTTTTTAAATTAGATTTTGCTTCACTGGATTTTTAATCACTGGATTTTGTTTCACTGGAAACTAAAAAGAAACAAAAAAACGAAAAACTCTAAAATTCAAATTTCAAAAAAAATGTTTTCTTTTTCTTCTGCTTTGGTTTTATTCTTTTATTCAGAGTTATTATAAAAATTAGCTTGGTGGGAACATCTTACATTAATTCCACAGCAACTGACCATCCTTGTTTTTGTTTTGATTAGTTGTCTCCTTTCTCTAATTATTCCGGCCACTTAGTTCCGGTAACTTCATCTTTTGTCTGACGTTTTCTTCTCGCTAGCCAGAGTACCCCAGTTAATGATCGGGAAGTCATTTTTGTCGAAATTTGAGCTGTATTAGGTTATTATCAGAAGTTTGAAACTGTGCTGCAAAAATTGAATTGACAGATTTGCTTTTTACACTGAACGTTGCACACGGTTATTCGTGCTTACTTTTTCTGAAATTATTAATAGCTTTGATCTAAATGTTTTTTTATATAAAAGTTTTGATTTTTTAGTTTGTCCTAAAAATTTGATTCAGTGGTATTAATATGATTTCTATTTTTCGAACAAATCTTTGGTTCACTTAATCTTTCTACCCGATTTAAAAGATCCATTAGAAATGTTCTATGTAACCGTATGTTTCAACAGCATACTTTTTCCGGTTGACGCTAGATGATTGTAGAGATTTTCAGCATATTTAAGACGTGTATTTTTTTCAAGAAATTGGCTTGCTCTCATTGTTCGTATATTTCAAGGGTTTGGAATTTATTTTATATCGATTTTTGGTAAGCTGGTTTGTGGTGTACTTTTAAAAGAGCAGTCCATTTTTCCAACCGACGTGGCACGTTTTTGTGGATGGTTGTGCAAAATTTGTCTTACCTTGCTGATTTAAATTATCCGGACGAAAAGAATAAGGCTTGAAATTTACTACGTTTTTCTCAAATTGGATTGACATTAGGTGAACATTGAAGAAGACATAACTTGCTTAAATTTCAGCAGAATTCTTATGGCAATTTTTTACGCAAAATTCAGGCCCAAAATTTGGCAAAGTTCGGGCCCAAAAAAATTTAAGAATGGTATAATCTCTGAAAAAAATGCGCGAAACGTTCAAAATTTGCTTTCAAAAAATATATGGGTGTTTTAAATAGTAAAAATGACATTTTTGGCTATCAAATAAAAATAAATTTAAATTATATATTTTTTTGGAGATTATACCCTCCTTCACCTTTGTTGGGGCTACTATGTAAGAGATTCTTTTTGATATAGTTTTAGCAGTGATTGACCCGGTAATTGTAGCGCAATTTCTGATAGACAAAAAAAAACTAATAATTAAACGATTTTGGGGTAAAATATTGGGCCCGAATTTAACCTCAAACAACTTAAACCATAAACGTTCTGCTGAAATTTTAAGCAAGTTCTACCTTATTCAATTTTCACCTAATGCAAACCCAATTTGAGAAAAAGGCGTTTTAAATTTCAAGCTGAATATTAGGAGTCGTGAGTGGAATCACATCACGTTGACTAAAAAACTAATAATTAACCGATTTTGGGGTAAAATTTGCCGTTGCTTTTCAGCACGGGTTTTTTGTTACCTGATGTCTCTCAATTATGCGTGAAGTAACTTAAAGTCCGCGTTTGAATCCTTAGTCTCAGAAAATTTTGTAAGTTGTTTTTTCTTGCGTTTTTCTTTTTTGCTGTTTTTTTTTGCTCCGGCATCTGAGCGACAATTGGTTTTTTTTGCTACGAACAACTCAAAATTAAACTATATTTTTTCTCATTGTGTCATTTTTGTTTCAGAATGTCTGCTGAGACCTCTACAAACGAACAAAAAATCAAAATTTCGAAGCCGCGGAAGACTTCTAGTAACAGTAAGGGTAAGTTTTTGGGACACGTTTTGTAAAGCACTCTAAAAAGCGATAAAATGTAGGACTTTCTCAAAAGTTCAGTCTTGTCAATTTTGTCAGTTATAGAGTCCAAAGAAGAGAGACCAAATGCTGAAAAAAGGGAGAGGAAAATCGGCCAATCGGAACCGGCGACTCAAACAGCGCTTGAAGCCCCTGAAACATGTGCATCTTCAGCTGACTCATCCGAACCAACTGCTAACAAACAGCCTAATAAAAAGTCTAAGCCCAAGAAGTCTGAGGTTAAGGTTGACCCCCCTATTGATGAAGAACCTGAACCTGTACATCCTAATATGATGAAATTAGAGGAGGAACCGGCCAAAGTGAGGGATAAGAAAAAATCACTTTGGAACAAGGTACGAGTTAAGCTACGTTTTAGGTTAAGCTACTGCAATACTGTAGCATTTGAAAAAAAAAACTATTCTCGCGTTTTTGTTCTTCATCGCTGTTTTTGGTATGTAAAAGTTTTCTTTGAAAGTTTTTCTTTTGTTGCTTTTGAAAGTTTTCGTAGAGAGTTTTCTTTTGTTGCATAAATTTTGTCTAATATTTTTTGATAATTTTTTACCGATTTTCAGTTTTGGTTAGCTTAAGAATGCTTTAATTAACTCGGTTTGTATCTTTGACAAAATACTTAAATGGGTGATTGACATCAAGATTGATGTATTGCTGCCAATCATTGGTAATTATACGTTTTATTGTGTGTTTGAAGCAAACTTCTCATAATAGACGTTTTGTTACGTGAAGCTGGTTTTATGATTTTCCATTGATGTACTCTTTTAATTTTTTTTACATATACGGTTATTAATATGCTTTTCGGACCATCAAGACTCTACTAGTCATTGTCAATTAATGTCAAGTTTTATTTACTGCATTTAATACGGATTTTGGTCACCGCCAAGAGTGGGAGGAGTTCATTGAGTTCGTTTTAATTTAATTACACCCATATCATATATATAAAACTTGTTATTAATTGACAATGGCTATTAGCCTCTGATGATTAGAAAAGCATATGAATAACCGTATATTTTAAAAATAACTTTTGGTTTGCTTGAACTTCAGTTCCATAGTTTTCGGTGCATGAGGTAGCGTTCGCGTGATGACGGAGAGTTAGCTTGAAAATTACTTCTTGATAGTCGCCGCAATAACTTTTTGGATTCAATGTTAAGTAGTTTGTGATTATGTAGGTGAAGAGCGCGTTTTTCGGTCAAGACGTCCAAGACGATTCTGGCGACGAGGAAGAAGACATTTTGGACGCTAGTCCCGACAAAAACAACAACCTCATTTCCAAACAGGTTTATATAATACTTGTTTCTTGTCTCCGTCAAATGGTTGTGAAATTGACGAAGTGCTTAAATATTGTCTGGTAAAGATTCTTTATTTTTGAAACCGAAAAAAAAACTTAATCGATGCCATGGATCTGAAATTGACTAAAGAAAGCGGTTATTTGTTACTGCAACAAGTTTGTAAAGACTGCTAGAATCTAAATAAAAAACCGGCGGTTATTCAACAACCCCCCATATCTTGAGGCCGAAATTACATCAGAACTACGTAATTCACATCAGAATTAATTGCATGACAACTGACAATCTGTTATTATGTTGTATAAAAATTTTGATTTTCGGCTTGTTGGAAGGGTAATCTTATTTTCGGTTTGTTGGCCCTCCTACTTCTTAGCCTAACACCGGGAAGAAATATTAAAATAAAATATTTAACTTTTGAAATTGTAGGGTCATTTATTGAAAAGAAACTAAAATACGAGCCATCTATTCGACTTCTGCTCCTATGTAAATAGTGAGTTAGGACCGATGTGGTTAACTCATAGAGTAATTTCGGATAGGGTACACCGTCTGCTCGTCACGCTATCTTATTTTCGGCCGGATAGATTCGTGCAACTTCTTAGTCTAATACCGATCCTAATCTTACTCTTATACTATCTAGTCTCAGGTTGTTTAACTAGTCTCTGCTAGGCTCAATAGATCTAGGGTATACTGGTTTATTGCGGTTGCTGAAGTGCTCGGGAGAGTCCAACTAATTTCTAAGTTAAATTCAAATCTCTCTGGTGCTGAAATTACAAGTAACTTCAGCACTTACAAATAAGTGGGTTGTTAGTTTGATGGATCATGATTGGTTAATATTAAATACTTTACATTGGTAAAACATTTAATTTATCCAATCATAAAATGTAGTTTAGATCAGGTTCCACCCATCCGGGTTTTACAGAGTTTTTTAGAATAGTTCTTCTGCAATTCGAAGGATGGATGATGGAAGTTGGTGTTTGGCGAACATCTTATTTCTTCTGTTTCCTTTTTGTTAAAGAAGTTCCAGGAAGCTGGAGTTAGAGACATAAGACGTTGTGTCTTCTAGTGACAACGACTAAGTCTTCGCAACAAACTCAAATCTGATTTCAGAATGGTTGGCTATGTCAGGTTTTTCTGTTCTGCGTGGAGAACTTCTTTTGTGTCTGATCTAGTTTGGGAATGGCGTGGAGATTGTGCGTGGAGGGGATGCCTGGTTACTCGGATCTGTACGTATACTTGAACATCGAGGTGGTCATTGGTCTAGTTCAATGAAGTCCTTTTCTGCGAAGTCAAGTCGTACTCTAAATCCTTTGAGTTGTGATTGTGAGTGGCATATCGATTGTGGTTGGTCATTCTCTCTCGAGCGTAGTGGGGTCGTTTTGTCTTTAGATGTTCGTCCTTGGTGTTGTATTCTGATCTATGTATTGCATAAATGTAATTTACATTTTATAAAACATTTATTAGTTTAATATTTTTTAATTATGATTTTAGTTAGTTGTTTTCACAAAAGCTTTTTGTTTTAGTTCGGTTATTTTGAAGAGTTACTCACACTTGAGTAGCTCTTATTAAAAATAGTGGTGTGGTCACAAAGCGTGGATGTAGCGCGGTGGGTTAGGCCGGCTATAGAGCATGCTCAGGACGTCCTTCCTGGTGGGTTAGGCCAGGAGTGGGAGTATGATTTCATGCGGTTTTTGTGAGGGGTCCTGTTATGTGACAACGTTTTATGTTGGGTTTGTTGTGGTTTTTCTTATGTTTTGTTGGTTGTGTCCTTTTTTCAAAAATCAAATTGTTTGTGGTATGGGTTTGTCTTTCGACTTTTTTGTGTTTTATTATTTCTTTCTTAGACTTTATAATAGTCTTCAAAAGAATAAATTATCCAGTTTTAAACTGGGTTAATCCGGTTTGGGTACCGTTGGTTTCCTTTTCTTAGTCATGCTGTTATTCTATGATTTGTGGTATTTAGTAAGCTGCGTTGGTTAGTTTTGTTTAGTATATGATTCCTTTCCAACCGGGTTAAAGGAAAGTTTGAAACATGTTATTATATGTTAGAGTTGTTGAGTGTGACAACTTGAAACTGAAATTCATTATTTTAAACAATTCTTCGTGGGCGAGCTGTGCGAGTGTGGATAGAATTTCTGTGCGAATGAAAGAAAATATCAAAAGGTTAGTACTGCAATTGTATTTTATTAATTTACTGCATAGAATTTGGAAATTTACTGCTAGTTATGGGGGAATTTTAAGTTACAAATTTTCATCATAATTAGATTTACTGCTTGTGGGGAAAATTTTAGAAATGAATTTACTGCATTGGTATTAAATTTATAAATTTATAAGTGTAAGAGATTAATAGAATTGTTGAAGTCTGTTTGATGAAATTTGCGATTTTTTTTTGTCTTTTGTGGTTTTTGTAGGTGATCGTCGGATGAAGGCTAAAAATCTAAAGAAAACATGAATAAAGTATGGTGAGTTTTTTAATATTTTAATTAGTTAGTAATATTCATTTAATTCATACTTACCTGTTAGTCGTCGGGGAAAAAACCGTGGGGGAAGATGTCGTGAATTAGTTCTGAAGTTGTTAGTAGTTTAGCTAAGATGCGGATGATATTTTTAGTCTGAAGCAGTGGCCAAAGCAATTGAAGTGCCTTAATAGTGGTTAGTTCTTCAGTGCCAACTGCAAACTCATAAGGTGTGTTTTGGATTAGATTATATAATTTGTGATTGAATTTAGTGTTGTGGATGAATTCTAAAATTGGGATTTCTATGGGTTGTACAAACTCGTGCGGGATAAGGAAGGGTCGGGATTCTTCGGCGTTGAAGGTCTTGGTGATGGGACAGAAGATGTACATTTGGGTTATGGGATCATAATTGCGAAGAATACCATGAAGGTTAGTGTCTTTAATACAATATGTGAAATTTAGGAAAAATGGTGAAGTGTATTTGGAATTAATGAATTGAAAACGATGGTGTGGTTGTCTAGAGGGTGTGTGTAGGTCAAAGTGATTTTGGATGAAGCGATAATAACTATATGTGTGGGTTTGTTTAGTGCGCAACATAATATCGTGTGAGCAGTGTAAATCTCTTTCGTGTGGTGCAAGGAAATGAAAGGTTAGTGAAAATATTTGGAAGCGTTCTTTAAAACTTTCGTATGCTTGTGTGTCTGTTAGTGCTTCTGAAATAATGTGATCAAACTTTCGGTCGAAGATGTTTAGTGTAAATACATATGGTGTTTTAATGAAAAATTTCTCGGTGATTTGTGGATTAGCGAAGCGATCGTCGTCTAAGAATTGATCTTGGTTAGCTCTGATGATGTTGTGATCATAGTATTCGAGTGTATATTCGTTAGCTCTAGGTGCAGTGTGTGTTTTTAGTGATTTTTTATATCCAACGTAAGTAAATTGTCTAGCTGTTAGTGGCGTAGTGAGTCGATATAGCATGTCCGTATTTCGCTCTATATCGATGTGAGTGTTAGATAATGGTAAGCAAAGAGGGTTAGTAAAATGATAATATGAGGTCCAAGAGAGAGTGGGCATTAAAACGTATTCATCTACGAAGTTGCGTGTTTCGTTAGTGTCTTGGGGGGTGTTTAAGGTGTATTGTGGGAATGAAGGTAAGGTGATGGCTAAAAATTCTTTTGTGTTAGTATGCTTGGGATGGTTGATGTATTCACGGGCTGTTCCTGGTTTTGCTGGGAAAGGATGGTTGGGGAACTTTCTTTTAAAAGTGCGGTAAGCTCTATTAGTGTTGAGTGAAGATTCAGTTGATGTGGATGATGGTGCTAATGATTCAGTATAGTTTGAAGAGGGTGTAGGGGTAGGGGGGTTGGATGAATTTATTGTGGAGGAGATTTGGTTTATGGTTGGGGTATTAAGGTGGTAGGGTTGTTGTTGAAGGGTAATAAAATTATCTAGCTCTGGGGAGATTCGGGGGGTGTCTGGAGAATGAGATGATTGGTCAGAATGGTATGAGGAGTAGGTTGGGGTAACTTGGGAAGCATAAGAGGGTGTGGGGGTGATTGGGTCAGGGTTATTGGATAATGTGGGTTGAAAAGGGGGTTGAGAAAAATTAGAAGAGTTATGAAAATTATTGGATGGAGATGGTTCTGAGTCGGCAAATTCATCGGGGGTTTCAATATTCGGGTTATTGAGTTGTGAGATGGAATATAAAACTGAGATGTGTGAATTAGTGTCGGAATTCATGCCTGATGTTACATTACTAGATGGAAAATCGGGTGGCGGAAAAGCAAAAAGTGGTATTATTGGGATTGGAGAGGTAAGATTGGTTGGGTGGGAATTTGATCGGTGTAGTGATCCAAGTTGGCGGCTCATCGTGGGCTAAAAAAATGATTATTTTGAGACTGAAAAGCGGTGGTATGGGGTTGTTCAATAATTTGTTCATAAGTATTATCATCTTGTGGCTGGTGTGTCATTATATGTTGAATGGGACTTTGTGATGTGGTGAGTCGAAAATTTGGATTATGTGTGATGGCTAAGTTTCGAAAATTTCGTGGGACTAGGGATAGTGGATGGTTATTTGGTAGGGGTGGTAATTGTGGTGCCGTTGGCGTTATGTCTACATTGTTATGTTCTTCGTCGTATGTATTTTGTCGTGTTGTTATTTTTGTGTTATATGCTTTTATTTGTGCGTCTAAAAGAATTTTGTTTATAGATGTAGAAAAGATTCCAAAAAATCCTGCAAAGAGTATGCGTGCTACACTTGCTTGTCGATTGACCTGTGTGTGTATAGCACATGTGTTGTAGATTCCTTTTAAAAGTGAGAAAAGAAATCCAATAAAGTTAAACATTGCGTATAAAATAGTCAATTTTTCTAAGATGTAGTAGGGCCATCCTAGAAAATCGAGGATCTCATTTTTGAGTGTAACAAAGCTAAAAATGTTAATTGGTGATATATCTTGGGGACGGTATTTTTCACCGTTTAGATATATATAATCTTTAATGTCTTTAAAATATCCGCTATAGTCTTGCGTGTAGATATCG